TATTATCATTATCATTGTTATTATTATTTTATTATCATTATTATTATTCGGGATTCTACAAATCATCTGCCAGAATTTTTTTCCCAACATTTATTCCAGGGTTTCTATCACTCTAATCCCTACCCTAAGATTGTTATTACTATTATTATCATTATCATTATGATCTTATCACGTTTTGTTGTCGTTGTTTTTTTTTTTAATTTATTAATAATAATAATAATAATAATTGATAAATAAATAAATAATTTTTTTTTTTTAAATGTTTAATTTCATTTTGTTTTTGTTATTGTTGTTGTCTTTTATTTATGTTTATACTATGGGTTTATTATTTATTTATTTATTTATTTTCGGTGGGGAGGTAGTGGGAGGGATGGGGGATTTTGTTTTTGTAATGTTTATACCTTATTATTATTATTATTATAAAAAAAATTATTTAGGTATTTTATGAAAATCATGTACACACTCACACACACAACACCTCACACAAACGCAATACATGTACAAATGCATTATTATTATTATTATTATTATTATTATTATTATTACATTGCCTTCACACTTTTTTAAAAAAAATTTTTTTTGTTTTCGATTTCATTATTAAATTAGTCATATTTCTAGCCTTATAATAATAATAATAATAATAATTTATTAAATTAAATTAAATTAAATGTTATCAATTTTAAAATATTATTATTATTATTATTATTTTAATCGATTTAACTTAAGTAAAACTCGAGTTCCCTAAATTTTTTTTTTTTTTTTGGTCTTTTATAATAATAAATTAATAATATTTAAAAAAAAAATTGTAAATTTAAATTGGTAATAATAATAATAATAATAATAATAATAATAATAATAATATTTGAGGTTTGATAAAATTAATTTACTATTATTATTATTATTAATAATCATTAATTATGTAAATTTATATAATATTGTGGGAATATTATTATCATCATCATAATAATAATAATTTAAATCGTGTTTGTCATTTAAATCTCTCTCTTTTTCTATCTCTCTTTCTCTTTCTCTCTCTCTCTCACTCTCTCTTTTGCCTTAATTATGAAAATTATTATCATTATTATTACTTGTATGGTTAATAAAACAATTTCACACACACACACATACTTTTCTCTATCTCTCTCTCTCTCTTTCTCACTCATTCGTTTTCTCGTTGTAAACAACAACAACTATTTCTTTTCTATTTTTATAAAATTATTCATTCGATTTAAAATAATAAAAAAAAAAAAAAAAAAAAAAAAAAGTACTTAATTTAATTATAATTGAAATTTAATTAAAATATATTGTAAAAATAAAATTTTTTTTTGTTTTTTTTTTTTTTTTCAAATATTTAATTTGAAAATTTTATTTTCTACTCACTTTTATCATATCCTTTTATCCCAACATTGAATAAATGATGAGGATGTCGAAAAAAAAAAAAAAAAAAATTTATAATTGTAATTTTTTTTTTTTTTTGTCATCGTTTATTCAATAAATTTTTTTTAAATGGAAATTACAACGTAGTGAGCATTGTAAGTTTTTCATTTAATTGCAATTGTGTTTTTGTTAATTGAGTCAACGTCATGACCATGAGTAAATCCTGTAACGATAATTAAAATTAGTGTTTATACAACGGCTTACATTAAATATGGGAAAAAAGAAGTAATAATAATAATAGTAATAATGTAGTGAAATTTACTTTTATGTTAGATGTAAACATTGATTCAAATTCTTGCGGATTCATTTTCGGAACTGAATATATCATGTCGAGCAATGCTCTACCCACAGCTGCTTTAGCCGGAATTTTTGCAGCAAGAACATCATCAACATAAGATAATACTTGATCGAGTAAATCTAAATATGAAAAAAATCACAACATAAGTTTCGATTTTACACCATTCATGTATTAATAAATAATAATCCAACCTCTTAATTTATTAGTCGCTTCTGCGACTTGTGCAAGATCTTGCATGGGTTCCACTGTGATTTCTTTAGTTCCGACAGTTTTTTGACATAATTTAATTCCTACTATTTCAGGCTCATAACAAACAACTTCAACTGGAATCGGTGTAAACATAGAACCTGCTTTACCCCCAGGTACTCCAATGGGAACGCTTTAAATAATAAAATTTTTTTTTTTCAAACAATTAAGATTTTCATTTTTAAATATGGGAGGAAATTCAACAAACCATAAATATGCTCTAAGTCCCATTCTATCCCCTTGTAATGTAGTATCCAATGTCATGTGAATCGGATTATTACATTCTCTAGCATAATACTCGTGAATGACGCTTGAATGACATGTCACTTCGTGACCTGTTGCCCACCAACCGATTATCGCTTCCTGAGGATTAACCTTTCTATTAAGTTCATACATGTCTGAGGCATATGACAATTCAGCTTCAACTTCCACTTCATATTCCTTATGCGGCACACAAAAACAATTTGTAACTTCTACGACTCCCTTATCGACAAATCCTAACAATCATGTCAACAGATAAATATGTATATAAATTTCAAATGTGCTACTGTGATGAACACAATCAAAACAGTATATATGTAAAACAATATTAAACATATATTTAAATATGCAAAATTAAAATTTATATTATGATAATAATAATGATAATAAATAAATGTTAGTAAATTAAATAAAAGGAAAACTAAAGTTAAAAATGTATATACATTACTTGGCATGTAACGTACACGGCGACAAAAAAAATTTAATTTTAATTAATAAATAAAACAACATGGAGGAAAATCAAGAATAATAATAATTAAAAATTAAATAATTACCTAAAAGTGTTCCGATGACACGATTAGCATCAGCACTTCTCCTTTCGTATGCATCGACGATTTGAAATTTCACAACGGGGTGAACTTTAACTGTTAAGTTGAGCGCCATCTTGTAATGAACGACTAGTATAGCCAACACAATAATGACGTCATAAAAAAAAAATAAAAATAAAAAGACGCCATTTTGTTTTCTTTTACATTTTTAAAATGGACGAATAAACAACAACAGAAATTCACATTGAAAATTGCAAATTTTAATTTTTAAAAAAAATCGAATTCCTTCTTCCCCACCCCCTCCTCCTCCCCCTCCTCCTCATTAAAATAAAACTCGTGAAATATTTAAATAAATATTGATAATAATAATAATAATCAAATGAGAAAAAGATTAAATTTTTTTTTTTTTAAAAAAGTTACCACACGTGTCATATTCTAGTAAATAACGTAAAATAAATTATCGTCGTAATTATTTAAATTTATCAATTTGCATTTAAAAAGAAAAAAAAGAGAAAAAAATGTCACACAATTACTCAAAGTTTTTCAAAACGTTTTCAAAATGTATCGACATTAAACGATTAAAGGTATTTTCAATAAATATCGTTAAAAAATTTTTTTTTGACATATATCAAACATTACAAAATGATAAAAAGTAAAAAATTAATTAATTAATTAATTAAAATCAATCAAATCCCTTTTAAAATGATGATGATGATGATAAAAACTTATTGATTCAGGTCGTTGAAAAAAATATTCGGCATTTTAAATTTATTTATATAACAAACAAACAAACAAACAAACAAACATGGCTACACTTTTTTTTTTTTAATTAATTAAAATAAACGACAGAAAAAAAAAAATTATTTTTAAATCAGCAGAAGAGAAGACAAGAGAGGGAAAAATTTTTTTTTTTTTTAATTTCAAATCATTTAATTTATTATTTCAGTCTTTAAAAAACGATGTCATCATCATCATCATCATCATCGTAGTTATCAGTAAAGTTTTTATCATTTTCACCTTGAATCCTATTTAAAAACAAAAAACAAAACAAAAAATTTACCGTGAAAAACGTGAGTTTAAAAAAAACTATTTTTTTTATTTTTCTCCGAAAAATTAAAATTTATTTATTCGTTTGTTTGTTTGTTTGTTTGTTTGTATTTCATTATTTTATATCTATATATATATTTACAAATAATTTAACACGCAACAATTTTAAAAAAAAAAACAAACGAAAATTTTTTTTTTTATAAGTTAATCCGCCGACGTAACACGTGCAGTTTTTTTTTTTTTTTAAATTTTTTCCTAATTAATTATCATTATTATTATTATTATTATTATCGTTTAAATAAACGTCAAGTGTTTCGATGTAAGTTTTAATTATTAAATAAAAAAAAAAATTAATTTTTAAATTACGTAATTAATTTCATTATTATCAGTAATCAATCCGACGTATATTAATTATTATTATTATTATTATTATTGTCTAAAACGTTTATAAAAACATTAAAACTATCATTTTAACAATTTTTACGAACCCTACATCATCATCATCATCATCATTTCCGATAAATCAATAACCATTTCCGGTTAGTTTTATTATCTTCTCATGTTTCACACAGCATCCGTCAAACACACACACATTTAGTTTAATTACAACCATTTTTTCCTCTTCTTCTTCTCATTATCATTATTATTAATATTAATATTACTAACCATTATTATTATTATTATTATTATTATTATTATTATTATTATTATTATTATTAATATTATTGTAATTAATTTAATGTTAATCCTGCAAGTTTTTTTTTTTTTTCTCTCCCAACAAATGATATTTATTGTTTGTTTTTTTTTTTTCATTTTTCCATAACGAGTATTCTAATTATTATTAGTATCATTATTATTATTATTCTTTTTAAATATTATTATTATTATTATTATTATTATCATTCGCAAGAACCTTATCAACAACATTCCATGAATACGTATTAGTTTGTTAATAACATTATAAAAAGTTTTAACGGTTAGTAGAAATCAAAACCTTTTCAACTTTTTGTCGTTAAAGTTCTTTCGACATTTTTTTTAGTTAATATTATCATTATTATTATTATTAATTTAAATTTCAACCGTTAAAAAAAATTAATATAAAGAAAAATTTAATAATAATAATAATTTAATAATAATAATAATTTAATAATAATAAGTGTAAAGTAATAAAAAAAATTTGAAAAATTATTGAAAAAATCATTTCCGTTTTATTATTATTATTATTGTTACTATTATTAATATTAATATTATTATTATTATTATTATTATTATTATTATTATTATTATTATTTGAAAAGTGATTGAAAAAATTGTTTTTCAGAAATTTGAAATCCAACAGATAAAAAGGAAGGCAGCAAAAAATGGTGAATTTTACGGATTTAAACGACGAATTATCGGAATACATGAAAGAAAAATGTGTGCCACCAGGTATGCCACCTGCTGAAATGTTGGTCGATGGCGTGGCACTCCCGAAAAATTTTCAAAAATACTACGACAGAATATATAACATGGAAGTAAGAGAGGATGATGTTTGGGTCATTACCTTTCCAAAATGCGGTGAGAAAACTGCGATGACGTAATACTTCCCTCCCTCCCTCTTTCCCTCCTACTCCCTTAACCACCCACCCACCGACCCACCCCCCAGAGGAAATTGAAATTATTAAATCATTAATTAAATTTTCAGGTACGACGTGGTCTCAAGAAATGATTTGGCTCATTCACAACGATTGCGATTTTAAAACGGCTAAATCCGTATTCATATACACGAGATTTCCATTTTTAGAGTGAGCAATAATCGATCGATAATCGATCAATCGATCCATCGATCGAACTCGATCTCGGTATCTTAAATTATTATTATTATAATTAATTTTACCTAAAAAATCTCTTTTTTTTATCAGGTTCTCGGCAATATGTCGCGAAGGTGATGACGAACCGGATACAGTCGAACAAGTCATAACAATGACGTCACCGAGATTCATAAAATCTCATTTACCCTATCATTTACTTCCAAAACAATTGTGGACGGTTAAACCCAAGGTCAAATAAATAACTTTAACCGCGAATTTCTCTCCCTCTCACTCTCGTTATTATTAATTTTTTCTTTCCATTTTAGATAATTTACGTTTATAGAGATCCGAAAGATGCTGCAATTTCTTATTATCATCATTTTAAAATGTATAATTGGTACGAAGGAACTTTGGATAAATTTTTGGAAAGTTTTTACAAAGATAAATGTAATTATAAAAAAAAACGTACCGGTTAAAGTGACGTCACCGTGACGTCACACTCGCGAATCGAACGTTTTGAAATTTGAATATTATTATTAATATTAAATTTTTAAATTTTCCTGCCACTTATTTTCAGCCGTTTACTCTCCGTTTTGGGAACACGTTTTAGATTTTTGGAAATTACGAAACGAACCAAACATATTATTTAACACGTTCGAAGAAATGAAAGAGGATTTGAGAAAAGTCATTGAAAAAACAGCCAAGTTCTTATGTAAAACCGTTAGGGAAGACAAAATGGCGGAACTGTTGGAACATTTGGATTTCAAATCGATGAAAAACAATCCGATGGTAATTAAATATTATTATTATTATTATTATTATTATTATTATTGTAACTTCGTACCTTTGATATTTTTTTTTCTATTTATCCGATTAATTATTCTCAAGGTTATCCAACTTGAATTAATCCAATTATTATTATTATTATTGTTGTTACCGTTTATTGCTTATTATCTATTGCATCATCCTATTTTGTTTTGTCTTTTCCTTTTTTAGATAAATGTCGATGATGCGACTCCACTCCAAAAAAAAGATCCCAACGCATCCTTTTTCAGAGAGGGTAAAACAAAAGGATGGAAAACATCTTTCACTCCGGAACAAACGAAAAAATTCAACGAATGGACGAAATTAAAACTAAAAGGAACCGATTTCGACTACCAATTTTAATTTGGGGGTGGGGGAAAAAAATTTTTAGTTGCAAGTGGCGCGCTCTTCGTTCCCCTATCACCACCACCGTCGTCGGCTACGACAGCGGCGTTGCCAATTTTCATTTTTTTATTACTCTATGAAGGATACATATAATTTATCGTATATAAAAAAAACAAACATTAAACGAAAATATATACATGTTTATTTTTAAAAAAAAAATTTATTCTTTTTTTTTTTGTTTTTTCCGTGACATAAAATTACAATTTCGCCTCGAAAAATTATTATTATTATTATTAGGCACCCATTTTATTATTATTATTTGAAATCTAACGAGTAACTACGACAGCAACAGCAACAGTAAAAAATTAAAAAATCTCACGATTCGCGCGATTTACTATTGAAATAAATGTTCATATATATAAATTGTCATTCGTCATAACGGATAAATACTACGTAACCGTTAAAAAATGAATTAACGGAACAAAAAAATCAAAATGAAAACGCAAAAAAATTAAAAAAAAAAAAAAAAAAACCAGAGAAAAACAAAGAAAAAAAAAAAAAGTTAAAATAAAAAATTAAAATTAAAATAAATTTTTTTTAAAAATCCGTTCATCAATCGTAATTTGTTGTTCAGATGGTTAACAAATATCGTTAATTATTTTATACCTTTTCATCTCCTCCGTTAATCAGAAGCCTCGTCACAAACATAAATAAATAAATTGTCAGGTTGGCAAAACTGTTTGTTTTCATGTGGGAAGAAAAGAATTGAAAAACTCACAAACTGTTTTTTTTTTTTTTTTTTAAACGTTATCGACATTCGTTAATCACATTTCGATAATTAAAAATTAAATTTTTTTTTTTTTCTTTTCATTTTTCACAAAATCCACTTTTTAAATTTTAAAAATATTCGTTACGTGCATCGATCGACGCGACCTCACGCGTCCGACATTTTAAATAACATTAATTCAAATTTAACGGTCGAAAAACGTTTCGAATCATTTTCATTGATATTTTTTTCACATCGTTAAAAATTAATATTTTTCTCGAAAATATCGCGAACTTTAACCTTTTGTGTTGTTTTTTGTTTCTCAAATTGTTTTTATAACATTGTCCTTCGAAAATCAAACTCGAATCAATGCACCAAACAAAAAAAAAAAAAAACTTTAAATCGTAAATTGTGATAAAAGTAACCAATATGTCGATCGTATGTGCATTCATTCGTGTAAAATACAAAAATCTAACAGTTTTGCCAACCCAAATTGTGATAAGTGGTAAATATTAAGCAACGGCAAGAAATAAAAAATAAGCAAGACGTTAAAAATCACTATAAAAAAAACAATATCATACAAAAACTTACATAAAAATGAGCATCCATTTTGTTTTCATTCAAAATATTATAGATTATTATAGTAAATAAATTTTATCACAAGTTTACAATTTTTTTTTTTTACTACCTGTGATAAAACCGTAAGAATGAAATCCATTGTTTGTTTATGTCATTATTATTTTGTACATTTTTTTAAAAAAAAAAAAAAAAAAAAAAAACATCTCAACTTGTTAATTAAAACTCAAACAACAATCAGGCTCAGGCTCAGGCATGGGCAGGCTCACCGAATTGTAATTTTTTTATTCTTACATTAACCATCTGAACTTTAATAAAAAAAAAAAAACATTTTTCTTTCCATTTCTTTTACATAAAATTTTTTTTTATTATTACTACTAATTAAAAAAATAAAAAAATTTTATCATATTTATCATGATTATTATTATTATTATTAAAAAAAAAAAAAAAAGCAACACAGCCTGAGAAAATTACAATCAATCAGCTTTACAAATGTTTTTATCTCTCTCACTCTCTCTCTCTCTCTTTATCTCTCTTCCTCTTTCTATTAAGATATTCGAAGAAGAAAAAAAAAAAAAGAAAAACTTACATGTAAGGTATCATCAACTTGTGATTTCTTGATCCATGGCTTCTAATGATCCACCACTCGTTTGCGTATTTTGTATAACTCTTCCTATCATCATAGAATTGCAATTTTTCAAATTCAACGAATTGCATAGCGAATTATCCGAGTACGAACGTATATTTTTTTGACAACTTACAAATTCGTGTATCGGTATTTTACCATTCATCGATGAAAAATGACTTAGAGTCTTGTGACACGACGTTTCGTCCAAATCGTCCAACCTCCTTTTGTTTCTATTGTTTTCCGTCGAACACTGTCCGTTTACACGCGATTGTTGAGCTCTGTATATCGGTTCGAATTCTGACAATTGTGCCATGAAACCTTCGTTTGGATTTATACAAAATCTTCTTTGTTGTACTAAACTAAATGCTTCTCTGTAACAATAAATAATTATCAATGTTAATTCCTCCATTTTTTTTTCATTTCGAAAGATTGAAACAATTGAAACAATCGAAACAACAAAAAAAAAAGATGGAGGAAATGTTTTTTCTCATACCTAGAGGTAAGTCCATATTTTTGCATGATATATGCCATTACAAGAGCAGCACTTCTCGATATTCCAGCATTACTATGAACTAAACATTTACCTCCATTACTAATCGCTTCTTCAATAAAAACACAAACATTCGAAAAATGCCTTATTATGTTTTCAGTGTTTGTGTCTGCTATATTCAGAACTAAATATCTGTAAAAAATAATAATAATAATAATAAAAATTCAAATAATTGATAATTTAATTGTTTATATACTCACTTAAATCTATCGGCAAAATGTGGTTTTATTATATGCGCTTCGATATCTTGTCTCACACAAACCACATGCGTGATACCATTGTGTAACAGTACGCCTAATTTAGATTTGGTAGCAGCAGAGTAAGGGCCAAGGTATAACCCAGGTACAATTTCTTGCATTGTCCTCCTCATAATATATGCCCACTCGTTAGCTTCTTGTATATGCGGAATTTTAGGAAATTCTAAACTGGCAGAAAATTCCATTATTCGATTATAATAATAATAATAATTAGTTTTGTTGCGAGTATATTTTCCAATGAGGATATTAAATGATTTTATATTTTTATCTTGTAACATGTGGGCATTTTGATATAATTATTCGATATTTATAAGCCTACATCAGGCTAGTATATATATTGAAACTTGATAAAAATTTTTCACATTCATTTTTTAACAAAAACAAAAAAATACATAACTGAGATTTAGAAACATCTCTCATTTACAAAAAAAAAAAAAAAAATTAATGTCATTTTAAATTTAATTTATACGAGGAAAAAAAAAAAACAAATTTTCTCCATTCTACACCTCATTATTATTATGATGTTAAACATTTTTTTTTTAAAAAAAATTATACAAATATATTATTATTATTATCGTTATTCGGAAATTTCAACAATGTATCAAATTAAATAATAATAATAATAATAATGATAATAAATTTAACCGGTAAATCAACAACTTATAAATTAATATTATGTTCATTGTGTTTACTTGTGAAACTAGTTCAACACATTTCACCCGCTAAATTTTTTTTTATTTTATTTTATTTTTTGAAACTGAATAAAAATTAGAATATATCATCGTTTTTAACATAATTTTTCACATTCACCATCATTCAAAAATTAAATTAATAATAATAAATGATAATATTTCTAATCCGAAAACTTTACAAATGTAATAATTTCAAAAAAAAAAATAAAATACAACACAAATAATAATAACAACGCCATGTTAGTTTTCACAAATGAATAATAAAACAATAATACCAACATATAGGTATAAAAGGCGGTGAGTTTTTTTTAACCAGGTTAGGTTATGTTTTAAAAAACAATGAATTTTTTTTCTTTTTTATTAAATAAATTATTACGGTGATAATTCCAATTAAAAATAATAAAAAAAATTATTTTAATTTATAATCGTTTATATTTCAGATAATAATAATAATAAATCATTTCGTACGAATTAAAAATTTTATGGTAAAAAAAAAAGTTTCTAACGGCGTGTAAGCGGTTAAATTAAACGTTTGAGGTTATGCAATTGAACCAATTACAAAATATTAAATAATTTGATTTTAATAAACAATTAAAATTATTTTATGATATAATAAATAATTAATTAATTATTGTAATAAAAAAAAATGAAAAAATCATAATCGATGGTTGTCATTTACATAAGAGCAAATAATACATAAGAACAACAACAACAACAACAATGTCAAGGTTGAATATACATATTCCATAGAAAAAATTATTAAAACACTTGACGAATGAATAATAATAATAATAATATATAATTATTTAACCAAAGGCTAAAACCACTTTTTCCTATTTTTCCTTGTTTTTTTTTGATTCCTGCTCCGGATACAAAAAAAAAAAAACAATATTTATTTGGGTCAAGTTTTAAAAAAAAAAAAAAAAAAAAAAATTCTGTGAGGTCTTTTATGTACACGCACACGCACACGCACACACGCACACACACACACACGCACGCACGCACAAGTCTACATAATTAAACATTTATTAATTATTTATTTATTTATACCTTAAAAAAAAAATTTATGAAATGTTTGATATATCATATTTCTCTGTTATGATATTTATTTAATAATAATAATAATTTTTCGTTTGTTCGTTCGTTTGTTTGTTTGTTTGTTTCGGGGTTAATTGTCCCATCGATAAATAATCAATTAAAATAATTAATAAGTATTATTATTATTATTATTATTATTGTGCACACGTATATGAAAAACCCATTTGAAAAAAATTTACGATTGTTTTTTAATAGGTTAACCTTTGAACTTTTCATTTAATTATTATTATTATTTTCACGTCGATAAAAAAAAACGTAAAAAAAGATTTTAACAAAAAAAAAAAAAAAAAAAAAAAAAAGGAAGGAAAATTTTGGTACGGAGAGGGTCCCGCATTACCATGAACTGACCTACCGCCATATTTAAATTTTTTTTTGTTATAAAACGCGTTTCCGGTTTTTTTGTTTTCGTGGAAAAAAAAAAAATTTTTTTTTTTAAATTTGCCTCATTTTTTTTTGTTGTAAATAAAATCGCGAGGTTGTCGATAAATAATTTATTAATTAACTGCGCAACGTGTTCGCAAGGATATATTGCACAAGTTTTAAGTGGTACATTTCTATTTGAACGACCCCCCCACCACCTCCACCCCCCCCATCACCACCATCACCACCACAACTTCAAACATTAAATTATGCGTGGGGGTGTGTGCGTGCGTATTATAAACTTGTAAAAATCATCTTGACAAATAAAAACGAACATAAATAAATAAATAAATAAATAAAAAATTTAAAGTTATTAAAAAAAAAAAAAAGGTCAATGACAGCCTTTAAATTTATCGTTTAAATAAAATTCAAAATGGCGTCGAATCGAATTTTTAAAAAATTTTCTCTCTCTCTCTCTCTTGTAACAAACAGTTAAAAAAAAAAAAAAATTAAGAAAAACTTTCGTGAACTTCGTACAATAATAATAATAATAATAATAATAATTTGTTCGATAACAACAATGAAAAAAAAACAAGTCACGTGATTGATTTTAAATTTTTTTTCCAATACGATTTTACAAACAAATATGAATGAAAATAATAATAATAATAATAATAATAATAATAATAGTTAAGTTCTTTAAACTTAAATTTACTCACTGATAAAAAAAAAATTTTTTAAAGCCTATTTGGAAGTCAGTGAACGGTGATGATGATGATAATAATAATAATAATAATAATAATAATAATAATAATAATAATAATAATAATAATAATAAGAAAAATAGTGGGAAATCCTTCGTGGAGTGAGAGAGAGAGAGAGACAGAGACAGAAACAGAGAGAGAAAGAAAGACAGACAGAAACAGAGAGAGAAAGAGAGAGAAAGACACAGACAGAAACAGAGAGAGAGAGAAACTCTAAGAGGAAAAGGATAAATAATAATAATAATTTTTTGCAGAAGGTCAAACGCGAGAAAACCGGCAAAGGACGATCGGGCTCTTTAAAAAAAAAAAAAAAAAAAAAATTGACAATATTTATTTATTATGTAATACCTTGTACCTGGCGGCCACTTCTCGAAGATACCTCTCCTTTTGTGCCGTGTTTGTTCATTTCATTACCATGTCATATCGGTCCGGGTGGTTATATAACAGGAATCGTGAAACGTTTTCTACGCAATAACTCTCCTACCGAGACCTGGTAAAAATGTCTTTCGTTAATATCATTTTAATATTTTTTATCGGGATTAATGGAGTGTACGGTACGGTCAACGAAAGGTGTCCGACGGATTTCGGCATTGGATTTTTATACAGAGAATTAGGATGTAAACCTGTACACGAAGAAGCATCGAAATGTCCATCGCAATTCGATTGTTCGACCCGTAAGTTTTTTTAACACTAATTTTTTAACACATTAAATTTTCGACAATGGATACATCATTAAGGTAAATGATTTTGTCGTGGGTTTAGATTCGGCAAGAAAAACAAACGTTTGTAATTTCAAAGGAGAAAATTTCGATATCGGTACCGAATTATCAGGAGTTAAACATAATCCCTGTGTTGCCGCTTGCAGATGCGTTGAAGATAAAGGAACCGGACGTGGAGTTTTCAATTGTGCCAATGTCGAATGTTTCGATTGGCATTTGGAAAATGATAATTGTACGAGATTATATTCTGATGAATCTTGTTGTTCAGTTAAAACTCATTGCAGTAAGTCGTTATTACTAACGAAAATTTTTTAAAAAAGAAAAAATTTTTTGTACCCTTTTCATTTTATCATTAATCGCAGAGGGAGATCCGCCATTGCCAACATGTCTCGTAGATGGTAAAGTTTACGTGGAAGGACAAAAATTTTATCCCGAAAGCGAACCCTGTAAAGAATGTAAATGTAAAGAAGGTTTCGAAGGAAAATTCGAAGAACCTTTTTGTAAGGATGTTACGTGCGACATTGAATTACATTATGCATCTAAATTACATGGAAATTGTGTACCTGTTTATTTTGGTAGACGTGCTTGTTGTCCATTTGATTGGAAATGTCGTGAGTGTTACAAACATTACAATTATAAACATCACAAACGTAATCGATATTGATTGATTGATTTTTCTTTTCATGACAGCTAATCCCGGTCAGGATTTCAAATTGCCAGCACTTGGTAAATTACAAAAAACAACAACGGCAAAATGTAAATTTGGTGATTTGGAATTCGAACAACATGAATTACTTCAAACAAACGATAATAAAATCGAATGTAAATGCATAACACCTCCTTATTTAACCTGTATAAGTTTAACAAACGTTTAATTACCTCAACATTCATTTGTTTAAATTATTTCATTTGCCACATTATTATTACCATTGGAGACGCCATTTTGAATCGTGTAAAACGCAAAAACCGTTAAATTTTTTTCACCATAATCTCTTCATCATAATCTCACGCATAAAATATACACATTTTATAATAAAATATCATTTAATTATTATTGTTTAATTAGCATTAAGTTTTCTCTTTTTATTATTTATAAAATATTATGTTAAGTTATTAATAAATAAATAATAATAATAATAAATTTTTATTTCATTCCAACCGTTTTCGTTGTTTGTAAATCCAATAATAAGTCCGTTATCTTAACAAATAACAAAATCTAAAATTAAAATTAATAATTAATAAAGTTTTAATGTTATTTTAAAATGTTTATAACTATAAAAAGACAAAATAAATGTTTTAAAATAATAATTTTGAAAACATTCGAACCTTTATCTCTCGTCGAGAGGGAAATAACGAACTGCCACCCTAATAATGATTCGTCACGTAAAAAATTTTTTTTTTTTTTTCCCCGTTAAGTTGGTACTAATCAGCCATTTATTTGTAAACAGGAGAATAAATTTTTTTTTTTTTTCCCCACACACATACATAAAAAATACGGATTTAGTTGTTTTTGTTTCTGAGTATAGTTTTATATTAATTTTTTTTTTTATTTAATCCTTTTAAATCCATTTATTTAAAATGGGTAAGTTTATATAATTATATTATCATCATGTCGAATAATAATAAATTGTTTGTTTTTTTAAAAAATTGTTTATATAAATTTTATAAAAGAATACAAGGCGTGGGCTTTTAAAATCTTTATTTAATTTTTTTCACACGATTCTCTAATGAATAACCGAAAATATTTAAATTTTATAAAAAACAATCAAATAATAGTGATGGTATTGATAATAATAATAAATACATTAAATTTTTTATGTAATGCAATTTTTTTTGAAAACGAATTAATTTTTGTAAAAAAAAAAATTTTTAAGTGCAAAGGCCAATCGTTTATCGAATTAATACAAAAATTTAATTTTTTGCTCGTTTTAATTTTCAATTAAAATGAATTTAAGTAATTATTATTATTAAATTTATAACAAAAGCAATTTTTTTTAAGTATCATTATTAAACATACTTTAATCTTTCTCTCTCTCTCTCTTTCTCTATCTCTATCTCTCTATCTCTCTCTTTTACATATGTTTTCATAAGAAATTTTCATTTCTATTGATTATCTTTTGCTAATAGTTAAAAGAGTATTTATAAATTATCATTATTATTTACTCGATTTTAAGTTTGCTTTTAGAAAATGGGTTTATTCTGGTTTCAGGTTCGTGTCATTTATAAATAAATGAATGAATGAATGATTTGATTTTTTTTTTTTTTAGGCATGGAAAAGTCGGAGAGGATTTGAATTAATCAAGTCAGTCGGTCGGGGTATACTATGCTCAAAACGAAAAAAGGATATCAAAATTTAAATATGAATGACAATATGAAAAAATATTCATTTCACATTCTTCACATTGAATCAAATTTAGTGAGAAACAATTCGTTTTGTATGTACAACAGGAGAGCCAGGCACAGGATAATGCCTTATTACATGCCCAATGGTAGATTGGTCATAGTAGATAATAATAATGATAGATTACACGAAAGAACTCATACTAAAAGTGAAAATTCCGATACTGGTCGTGATAATAATGAGTTGTGTGATGATTATGATAATTTCGTGTCTCCTGTCTGCGGTCTTTTCAGATCTAAATCATTAGAAAATATAAACACTTCTAGTCATACAATTAATTTCACTAAAGATTTTCAAATAGAGCTTAATAATAGGAAAAATCAAAAGGATTCATCATCATCATCATCATCGACATCATCGGATGTAGAATTAGTTTCGTCTAAAATGAAATGTCTTAATGTTTAGAATATATACATACAAAAGAAAAGAAAAGAAAAGAAAAAAGAAAATTTTATTTAATTTCGTCTATAATATATAAGAAAAGGGTCAAATGGGCTGTTGTATATTTTAAAATTCCGATAAATATATAATTAGGTGTTTATTTATATAATAATAATAATAATAAAGAAAATAAAATAAAGAAGGAAACCATTTTTCTTTTTTTTTTATGAATGAATGAATCGAGTTGTTGTTATGAATGAATGAATGAATGAATGAATGAGAAAAAATTAAAAACCAAAGAAACTCCCCCCCCATTTAAGTTTTTACATACTCGAATTTGAGTTTAAATTTTTTATTTTATTATTATTAATTATTTTCTTATTCATTCTTTCTATCTGTACTTAAATAAATAAATAATTTATTTGTTAATAAAATAATAATAATAATAATAAACATTTGAAAAAAATAAAGAATCATTATGTGATAATAATAATAATGCAGCATAAGATAAAAAAAACAAAATAATCAATCGATAATTACTTAATTTAAAATGGTGGAAATTTTTTTTTATTTTTTGTTTTCAATTGTTTATCATTTTTACATTGTTTGTATATTTATATATTATGCGTGATGTAAACACGTGTGTGTGTGCGTGTGCGTGCGTGAGTGCGTGTATATCAGTAAGGGGTAAGAAAAATTATTTAAAAAATAAAACTTTTCACACTCATTAAACATGGCATAATTATTATAATTCGAGTACAAAACAAAAAAAAAAAAACAAAATGTCGGTTGTACTAATAAATTATTTGTTATTTAAAAAAAAAAAAAAAACAAAAGAAAAACTTATTATTATTATTATTATCATTATTTACTTTACTTTATAATTATTATTATTATTATTATTATTATTATTATTATTATTATTATTATTTGAAATCTAAGACGTTTCAAAAATCAAAATCGTCTCTGTGAATTGTAAAAAAAAAAAAAAGAAAAAATCATTTTATTATTATTATCATTATTATTATTATCATTATTATTATTTGTATTTTGGGAAAATTATTGTTTGTTATTATTATTATTATTATTATTATTATTATTATTATTTTGTCCGTTTTGTGTTGTTGAGTTTGAATAAAATAAAATATAAAAATTTAATGTTTTAATTAATTAATTAATGAATTATTATTATTATTATTATCACCACCGTTACTTTGATTCCTCCCCCTTATAAATCGATTCGTTAAATAAATAAATAAATAAATAATAATAATAATAAATTTGAAAGAGAAATCAGAAGATGATGATGATGATGATGATGATGATGTGAATTTTAATGAAAAGTTAAAGAAGAAAGAAAATTTATTATTATTATTATTATTATTATTATTATTATTATTATTATTATTAATTAATTAATGAGATATACTACCGAAACGATTACGAATGGTTTAAAGTTTGTTTTTCCACCAACCCCCCCCCCCTTCTGCCCCCCACCCACCGATAATCTTACATTAATTAATTTAAAAACTCTAATAATAGAAAAAAAAAAATTTAAATTTATTTTAAATTGAAACTTACTACTTTGAAAATGTCATTCCCTATCCCAGTTTTCTTAAAATTCCTTTTGAATTTTCTTTTCCTTTTTCTTTTTTTCATTATTAAAGATATTTATTAAAAATTTTTCATTTAACCTTAAAATAATAATAATAATAATAATAATTAATAATAAAATAATTTTTAATGACCTGAAAACCGTAAAAAAAATATTAATAATAATAATAATTTATTATAAATAATTAAAAATGTGATTGCATTCATTTTTTCCCTCCTCTCCCCCCCTCTTCCCCTTTCTCCCCCCCTCGAATTTAATATTAAATTAATATTATTATCCTTATTTACTTTGATTGTCGCCGACTGGCCATTTCTTATTTTCCCGCTCTCACAATATGATGCGTCCATTTTGTTTGTTGTCCAACCTTTAAATTGTAGGTGCGTGCGTGTAAAAGCGATGTAGAGCCACCGCACGTAGCCATGAAAGACATTTTATTCATTTTTATATACAGTAATCACTCGATATCCTTAAAAGAATATTTAATAATTTATTAAAGCGATCGATAAAATTATTATTATGTACATTAATAATAATAATAATAATTTTTTTTTTAAATTAAGTAAGAGACGACTCGTTCTCGTTCGATAAATTCACATAAAAAATTATTTAAAATAAATATTTGATTTTTTTTCACACATTATAAATAAAAAAAAAAAAATTGTTAACGTGAACTTGTTTGTTTTGTACCACGTTTACGTACACGTGCAAAACAATTGATAAATAACCGGATAAAATTATTTAAAAGATTTCCGAGCGTAGCCATTGATTCCGTTAATGGCTACGTATATTATTATTATTATTATTATTATTTTCGCGTTTCCATTTTAATACGGTGCTAAATGTATGACAGATTCTAAATATTTTATTAAATTCGGATTGAAATTTTGAACTTTTCCACGTAGAATGTTCGGTCCTAAAAATGTTGCCATGTAACTGAGACACTGACTCGCAGCACTGGAAGTAAGAGCATTTTCACAGCCCTGAAAATAAAAAAGAATTTTGTCAACCACAAATTATTATTATTTGTTTTAAATCCAGAATTTTTCCATAAATACAATTATTACCAATGAGTAAAAAATTATATCGAAAAAATCTTCTGCTATATTTTTAAAAATTTTTTTCCCAAGATTTTTAGCAAATATTGGTATTTGTTTACAGATTGTCTCTAAGAAAACGACGTGATGAGTGTAATGGCGGTATCTGCCAGCTTCTTTGAGCAATGCCATAACTGTTATCACATCGTTTTGTATTTCTTTTATGTGCGTTAACTCACCGATTAAATAAACGCAACTGAAAACAAAAAAAAAATATCTTTTGCATGCTAAAATAATGATAATATAACAATTATTATTATTATTATTATTTCATTACCCGTCAGCAGCTTCCCAAGGTTGAGTTTCTCTATTGTAAGTACTCTCACACCAAATACCTCTTCCCAATTTAGATCCATAAACCGATTTGTTCGAATACAAAGTCGTTTCACTTTTCCTTAATTTTTTAACCAAATCTAATTTTCCACTTTCTTTTTCACCATCTAAATAATTTTCACATTCTGTTTCTTGTTTTTTTACATTCTGTAAAATCAAAATTATTTTTCCACTAATAAAATTATTCGATGAAAAATGGCAAAACAAATTTAAACATAAAAATAATATTTATAAATTCATTTTGTCGACACTTGACTCAGTCTCCAACAACAAACCTCTAAACTTTGTCGTATGTGCGACAAAATATTTTCCAATGATGTAGATCCGAAAGCACGAACAACACTTGCTAATGAAGAAGCAGCACCTTGTCTCACAGAAGGAATCGAATCAGATAAATTTCTATAAAATAACGGATATAATGATTTCATGATTGGCTTCGACTCATTTGGAAAACATAATATAAAATTTCCACAAGCTAAACAAGCAGCTGAAAATATGAGACATCATTTATTTAACAACCCCAAAAAGAAAGGCACCTCTCATGTAAGAGCATAAAAAAATATACAAACCATCTCGCACAGGCCAACTATTATCCTGAAAGCAAATAACTAAAGTGTTGAGCAATTCATTAACATATGGCCTGACATGTTCTTTGGATATCTTCGAAGCCAATTCGGCTATGCAAGCACAGGCTGCCTCCCTAACTGCATGATTATCGGAGAGAGTTGCTTCTTTGTAATATTCCACAAAGGATTCTTAAAAACAAAAAATTAAAATTTTATTTAAACAAATCAAAAAATTTAACATGGAGTTTATTTTTACTCACCTATATATTGTTCGACTAGTTCTTTACCAGCAGTCCCCGTAACTCTCCTCCATGTTTCCTGACTATAATTTCTCACACCATCAGCGGCATAATATCGATTTAAACACATTCTAGGTAATAGTATGGGATAAAATAATTGCCTTGATTCATTATTGGGTAGTGGTAATAAAAAATTTCTAGTAGCTACAGAAGCAGATAGTCTTACTTGAGACCAATTGTCTGCTAAACCTTTTCCCAAATATTTACACAATTCATCGGTAGCATAATAAAATTCACTTCCGAATGCATCTAACGAAGACAAATTTTCAATCATTTCCGAATCTAAAAAATTTCATCGTCCCATGATTATTACTATACAAATATTATATGCATCATCTTATAAATAAATTTATTAAATGTGAATATACCTTCATTTGCAACTCCACAACTGACAAGACTAGAACAAACATAATAACCAGTTTCTCTAACAAATCGATTTGTATGGCACAATGTTTTGAAAATCAACAAAAACAATTCCTCATCCATAAACGGTTGAAAATGAGCACCGCAACCCTCGACCATGAATTGAAATGCTTTGAGACTAGTTTCTAAATTTTGCCATCCAGTAGAATCTTGAAATATTTGAGCAACATCTGTACCTCTCTGAAAAAGACATTTTTTTTTTTTTTTTTATTCGAACAACAGAAAAAACCATAATTAAATGATTTAACGAATACAAACCCTTTCAGGCCCGGAACCTCCGACTAATTTCTCAATCAATTTACCAGTTTCGAATTGTTCCAATTTAGACGAATCATCTTCAGGTATGGTTCTTTCCAAATTACTTTGTATCAACCTTAATATTGTATCTTTAGTCTCTTGATAAATTTCTACTCCAACTTTTTTACATAAACAACCTAAAACTTCACCGGCGGCTAATCTAACTCTAATTTCAACATGCGTCAAAAGTTTTTGTGTTATTTGTTTAATGGCAAAAATAAAATTACAATCAATATCATCGTCAATATTTAAATAAGGTATTAATGATTTTGCACCCAAAAGTGAGCCATGTTTGTTTTCCCACGAATTTTCCGTATCCGTTAATAATTTTATTATTATTTTTTGAAATTCACGTCTGTCTATAATATTTTGATTCGGAAGTGTTTTTTCTAATTCAATCACACCCTTATCTCTTTCTAATTTCATATGACTACACAATAATCTAATAACTTCATCGTTTTTCGATTCCATTTTTAATTTGTTGCAATATTTCAAGGATGAAAAAGACATTAATCACTCATGTAAAAAAAAAAAAAAAAAAACTCATTAAAACGTCATATACATGTCTTTTTTTTTTTAAAAAAACCATTTTAAAAATCGTTCGAAATACTGAAATAATAATAATTCACCATTTATTATTATAAAAAAAAAAAAAAAAACATCAAAGTTTTACCAAAGACTATATATGATAAATTTCCGTTATCGTTTAGGCTTGAACGGAAAATTTTTATAATTCATTTTAATTATTTAAACAAAATAAAAAAAAAAATAAATAAATATTTAAAAAAAGAATTTTATTTTCATTTAAAAATAAATTTCTTTAAAAAAAAAAAACATTAATAACAACGAAATAAAATTAAAAAAAAATTATATATGTACGTGAATAGTAGACATTTTGTTTCTATGGAATAATTTTTTCCGATTGGTAAAATAATTTCATTTCCGGTTCTTCCTTTCAAATGATTTTCTGCTTTTGGAGAAGCCATTAAAATATTTCATTATCGCTTTGTTGTGGACAAAACAATACACAATCCTAACGTATTGAATAATTGCAAAAATATGTAATCATTAAACTAACAAATTGTATTAATGAAATTATTATTATTATTTATATAAAATAATAATTACCCGTGAGTATAATTATATATATCATAATAATATTTTTATTTAAAAAAAAAAAAAAAAACGGGGGAAGGAACGGAACAAAAAAAAAAAAAAAAAAAAACTTTCATATTAAATAGTGATAATATGGATGGATTTAATTTTTTACATAATAATAATAATAATTTTTTTTTTTTTAAACCGGGTTATTACGATCGGGTATTTATAAATAAAATATCGATGTGATTTATTTATTTATTAATAATAATTTGACGTGTTTTTTTTTTTTTTTTTTTTTTTTTAAATAACAATTAAAGTTAAAAAAAAAAAAAATTTGTTTTTATTAAGTGTGTGTGTGTGTGTGTGAGGCTGCTGTGTATTAATAAACCGACGACGGGGTCCATTACCGAGTTATCGAATTGTGCGTTCGCATACAAAAAAAAAATTTTATTTAATTATTATTTCGTGTTTTAAGTATAAAATGTTTTAATAATTAATATTTTCTAATTAAACTTTCCAAATTATTATTATTATTATTATTTAGGTTCGTTAACGTCGTTTTTTTTTTTTTAAAAATGTAAATTCCATTAATTCTCGAATTATAAATTCTATATTATCATAAAAAATTTTTATTTAATCATAAACTTATGTAATTATCACAAAAATTTTGTAATTTTTTAAATTCTAATTTAAAAATTATTATTTAGTTTGTTTTATTATTATTATTATTATTAATTAATAATTTTAATTATTTAAAATTTATTCATAATTTAAAAAATTAATGAAACAAGTAAAAACTTGATTTAGTATAGCCATTTTGTAATTCTACTCATTTTGTAACTTGAAAAGTGAATTTTTCTTCTTTTTTTTTTTTTTTTGATTTAACTTATGTACATTAAAATAAAGTACCCATCACATACATAAATATTAATTAATTAATTAATTATTGTTTCGATTTGTTTGTTACACTCGAGTTAAATTTTTAGTTTTGGGGTTTTATCGATCAATCACTGTTTCGATATTAATTATATTAAAATATTTTAATAGTTTGTTTATTAATAATAATGATATTATTATGTTACTTCATAATTTTATTTGTAAAATGGAGTTTTTTTTAAGCACATACTTCCTTGTAAATAATTATGAAGTAACATTTATATCGAGTCATTAAATTCGAGTTTACTTTATAAATGCATTCACATTGTGATAGTAATTAATGAGAAATGTCAGCCCTCCCCCCCCCTTCCCCTGATTGTTAATTATTAATTATTTATTATAGAAATAGGAAAAATGTTCCATGAACAAGTTAGTGCCATTAGTCAATGGTTCACTGAATGGACCGAAGCTGAACAAATGGTGCTACTCTATTCGCTACTTAAGAGACTGTCTACATTACAAATCAAGTTCCTGTCCCGTGTTGTAGATCAACATTTGACTGATTGCGCAGAGTTACAAATGCTAGAACAACAAGCTAACAATCCAGGTAAATTTTCCTCCCTTTTATTTATTATTATTATTATTATTATTATTTGAATAAGACAAAAACCTTAAACTTGTTGAAATGAAATTTTTTTTTTTATAGCTTTTATCACTAATTTATTGTCCAAGGGTAAAGATATGACAATTAATCAACTACTAATTTATCTTCCCTTATTGAGACCTGATAATATTGAAGCTAAATCTCGATATTTGGCCATAATTCCATCGGTTTTGAGTCATTCTGTCGAAACAGGAGATCATTTACCGGAAGCAAAACAATTGATATCATACAGTTTAATACATCCAGCCATACTCAACGAAGATAGAAAGTAAGGATTTGGATTGTTTTAAATCATCAATCTATGTCAAAGTTTGAATTTGGCTTTGATGTGTTAACTTGACATGAATTTTTTTTTTTCAACAGACAATTAACGCCTTGGGTACAAATTCTCAAAGCTCGATTCAATTTATTATCAAGTAGTTCGATTTTACCCTTATCTGAATCCCCAAACAGTTGGGGTAATCAACAACAAAGACTCTCTAAAGAGCCTGCTGCAAATGCAACACATTGCAATCCACCACCACCACCACAGCAACAAGTTAGGGTTAGACGTAGCAACAGTTTAACACCACCCGTTAGCTTGTGTCAAAGTACCGAACTCTGGACTTCTCAGGTGAGTGAGAATTTTTCATCCCTTCATTACGGTGATAACGCCCCCCCCACCCCTTGATAAGAATTTAATCCTAATAATTTATGATAGGATGATTTGTGTGCTAAGCAAAAGCCACGAAGTTTTTCCCTGTCATCGGAACACGGTCCTCCTCTATCCCCGCAATCAAGTCAAGCATCCAGTGGAAGCGGATCCGAAACTCAATTAGACGAAACAAAATCATTTACCTCTGATATTCCTGGAATGAGAGGTTACTATTATTATTATTATTATTATTAATTTTCTCCTTAAATTGATTATCCCCTAACAACAAAATGTGTTTTCATTGTTAATGCAGATGTTGGTACGTGGTTGAAAGCTTTAAGACTGCATAAATACATTTGGCTTTTTGCTCAATTGAGCTACGACGAAATGTTAGCCTTAACGGAAGAAAAATTGGAAGCTGCTGGAGTCACTAAAGGAGCCCGCCATAAAATTATATTGAGCATAAGAAAACTTAAAGACAGATACAACACATTGTGTCAAATGGAAGAAGTAGGTGTTACACCTTTAAGGGGAGGGAGGGAGGGATGAAGGGGGGGTGTGTGTGGTTAAAACAATGTAATTGATTTTGATTTTTTGTCGTTAAAGGAAGTTATTCATGGTACAAATTTAATGAACGTTCTGGAAGAATTAAAAACGATGTTAGGCTCCCCGATAAAACCAACACCAGTTACCACCGACATCAATGAGACTGATCAAAACAAGACTGAAATCGATGATATACCCAGTCAATTCACCAAAGTTTTAGGGAAGGGTACGTACGTCACTGGATTTGTTGTCAAATTTAACAATTATTATTATTATTATTATTATTAATAATTCCCCCTTTTTTTTTCCCCCCTGGAACAGTTTGTACGTATTTGATAATTAACGGGGGACGCGAAGAAGATGCTGTTCGTTTGGCAACATGGCTTTTGGAAAGATGTTTAGCTCACGAATCGTTTGTACCCTTTCGACGAAGATTAGAAACATGGAGGCTCCAAGTTCACGCACTTTGGCAGCACACACATCACAGGCAAAAGTGAGTAGGAATACAAACAAACAAAAAAAAATTCACATCACTCATAATGATATTAAAAAAAAAATTATTATTATTTTCGTCACCAGGTGGCATCACGGTCAAGCTCATTTTTCGAATTCGAATTCATCAACTTTAACGGATTCCAGATCGTTACGTCGTTCTTCCACATCTTATCAAAATAGAGGCCTGTATCTTTTGCCGCCTACACCTTATCAGCCAAGTTTTAACAATCCTCAACTTCCTTCAACAACATTGAATCAATTCGGTCTTTCTCATCTCGCGAGTCCGACAAACATAATGAGTCACAACAACATGGCGTCACTATCATCTCCGTCGCAAACATCAACAGCTCATCAAAACGAGGTAATAACAATGATAATGATAATGATAATGATAATGATAATGATAATGTTTGATGTATTATTAACATTTGATTTTTTTTTTTTAGAGTCAGTCCGCCACCATAGGAGTGGAAAGATGTAGGCAAACGACGATAAGCGACAAGCAAAGTGATTCGGATATAAATTCAAAACTCGAAGATCTCTGCTTGAGCATGGCTGAACATTTTCTCGAAGGAGTTTCTTAATTTCTACATTCAACAACACATCATGCTTCATTCATTCATTCATTCATTCATGTTTTTTTTTTTTTTTTACATGCAGTTCTTATTATTATTTTATTTTTAATTTTCTTTCTTTCTTTCTTACTATTATTCTCACTCTCTTTCTCTCTCTCTCTTTCTTTTTGTATGTAAACGTATAAAAGTTTTATTTCATTATTTTTTGGCATGCTGAACGATGAGGCATATATATATATAATATGTCTTGAATAGGAATTTGTACGCGAATGAGAAAGAAGAAGAAGAAGAAGAAAAAAAAAGATAGATAGATAGATAGATAGATATATATATATATATAAATGTATTTTGTATTTTGGACAAGAATGCCGGATCGGTTGATCATCAATCGGTTATTTTTTTCGAGAATTAAACAATTATCGAATTGAATTTTTTTTTTTTTTTAAATTGCAAAACACGCGAACGCGACACGTTCATTTTTCGTCTGCTTTTTAATAGGAAACGCGGTGAAAAATGTTTGGAAAATAAATTTTTTTTTCGCGTCGAACGAAATAATGATAAAACAAAATGGCGGTCAACAACGTTCGTAAGAGAAAAGGAAAGGAAAGGAAGAGACGTAATGTAAAATGACCGGATCGTACGCTAAGTTAACAATACGAAAAATAGATCAATTAACAATTTTCTAGTTTTCCAGCAACGAACGCGAAGACTTATTATTAAAAATTTTTTTTTTTTTATTTACTTAAATAATTCAAAATTTGAACGATAGGGATCGCTGATTGTTTCCGTTATTTTTATTATTGTGATTGATTATGGGGGAAAAGAAAGAAAAGGTAGAATGAAAAATTGATGATGATTGATTGATTGATTGATTGATTGAAATCGGCATGTTAAACGAGAAGACTTAAAGAATGAGACTTTTTTTCGTTTTTTTTTTTTTTTTTTCGTTTTGAATACACCGTTTAAAGACTGAAAATTTTTCAGCGCGAATTTTTTTTTTATAATTTAAACAACAAAAAAAAAAAAAAAAAAAAAAAAAAAACGTCTGCTAAACGAGTAGCTTTTTATTCTTTTTATTAATATATTAAAAAATATATATATAAATATAGACGTATAGATTTTTATATATATATATACGTAAGTGATTATCATTATTATTAATGTCTGGAAAAGAAAAAAAAAATGGAGGAGGAGGAGGAGCGTGGATAAAAATTATTTTAAGTTTTTTTTTTTTTTTGTTTTGTTTTGTTTAAAATTTAATGTAACGTCGTCGTCGTCTGCGACGCCATTTAAAAAATGGGTTAAAAAGCTTACCTCCCCCCCATAGGGGGAGGAGGAGGAAGGGAAGGAGGGGGAGGAGGAGGAAGGGAAGGAGGGGGAGTAGGAGGAGGGAAAAAGAAGAGAAATTTTTTTTTGTATTTTCTCTCTCTCTCTCTCTCTTTTATTATATTTAACGTGTTTAACGTGTAATTTCTTACGTATTTGTTCTCTTTTTTTAAACGCAAAAAAATTAAAATAATAATAATAATAATAATAATATTAACGGTTATTGATTGCCATCGTCTATTATTATTATTATTATTATTATTACAATATTTTTACGTATCGTGTGTGGTTCGTTCGTTATTAATATTATTATTATTATTAATGAGATGTTTTTTCACCTGGTGAATTGTCTTTAAATTGTCGTCGTCGTCGTCGTGTTTTTTTTTTTTTTTTTTTTTTTTTTTGCACGGGCTGGGACCTGTCGTCGTTATAATTTTATGTCTTTTATTATTATTATTATTATTAATATTATTATGCAGACGTGTGTTGAAAAGAAAACGAAAACGAAAAAAACAAAAAAAAATTTAATATTTTTTTAATTATTATTGATAGAGAATTATTTAATATTATTATTATTATTATCATTATTATTTCTTATATAATTATCATTATTATTCAACTGTTGATTATTTTTTTTTCCAGATTTTTCTTTTTATTTTATTTTAATTATGTTAAGATGATTATTATATAAATGATTTAAATGTTTGAAACGGTCTCGGAAAAGCCTGGGATGTGTAATTATATATATATATATATATATTTAAAAAAATTTTTTTTTTTTTTTTTTTTTAAGTAACGATAATAATAACAAACGATATGATTTTAATAAAAAAAAAAAAACAAACGCGGGTCATGAGGTCATTTGTATTACGTCATTGTTGGAAAAATTAAGGTATCGTGGGTTCGGAATAAAAAATGTGAAAGTTTTGTATATGTGACGTGCGCGTGTCGGGAAAACGACAATCAAAAAAAGAAAAAATTAATTTTTTTTTTTTTTTTTGCTCATTATTTATTATTTGCAGCAGACTGATGACGATTTAAAATATAAACAAACGAGATGACGATGACGTCATCGGTGACGTCGATGTGTGACGACGGTAACGATTCGAATAGTCGTCGATATATAAATTCACGATATGAAGGAGACTGATGACGTAATCGCGGTGACGCGTTCAAAAAAAAAATAAAAAATTTACGAAAGATGACAACTAACCATTTCCGGCGTTTACGAAATGATAATGATGATGATGATGATGATAATGATGGTTTTTTTTTGAAAGACTGAAAAGGAAACGATTGATCGATCGATCGATCGATTGTTTTGCGAATCGTTTATCTCTCGTTTGTTAATTTTCAATTTTTTACGCATACGCACGCACGCGTACGTTCGCAAAACGCACGATCACATTTTTTAAAATTTAAATTTAAAGTTAAACAAAAAAAAAACGAACGTAAATTTTTTATCAAAACAAATAGTAATAATAATAATAATAATGAAATCGAACGATTAAAAATAAAAAAATACGTAAAAATATTATTATTATTGAAAATTCGTAGGGAAAACAGGGTTGGGTACAGTACAAAATAATGATAATGATAATAATATATATTTAAACGACAGCAACAACAACAGCAAAATTAATCAAAAATTAATTAACAATTGTTTTTTTCATGCACTTTAATCGTTTGTTTGTTTTTGCACCGCGAATCCTCCAATCGGGGAAGGCGGTGAAAATTTGAAAAAAAAATAACGGTCATCTCGCGACGCGTCAGGTACGAATAACAACATATATTATTATTATTTTATCAACGTAAACGATTTGATTCGTTTTATGATTTTTTTTTTTGCCGTCGTTTGTTGTTTGTTTGTTTGTTGTTGTTGTTGTTGTTGCTGCGTTAAAAACGCGTCGCGAGTTTTCATTTTTCTTTTCGAAAACATTATTATTATCATTATCATTCCGAACGGGGTAAAATGTGTTTTTTTTTTTTTTTTAATTAAAATTTTAAACCGTCGTGTTGTTTGCATATAAATATACAAAGCGGACATTTTGTTTTTACGATTATAATAATAATGATTATTATTATGATAGTAATAATAAATAATAATAATAATAATTAATAAATTACGATTGATAATTTTTTTTTTTTTTAAATTGTTCGATTGATCTCAGGCATATATATATATATATAGTGAATGCATTTATTTGTTTTTTTATTAAAAAAAAAAAATTTTTTTTGGAATAATTAAAAAAAAACTTAAAAATGAAATTTTAAGGGGATTTTATGACTGTAATTTTTAAAAAAATTTAAAAAGTTTTTGTACCCACCTAATATTTTACGAGAAAAAAAAAAAACGAAAAAAAAAAGCTTTTTTTATATTAAATAAACATTTTGTACTGTATTGATATATATAATTATAAAAAAAATATTTAAAAAAATTGTTAGTGTTATTAATTAAAGTAACGTTCCTTACCTTACCGCCATTTTGAAAATATTCCTCAGTCAAATGTACACGTGACGCGTGACGTCACAATAAAATGTTTCCGAACCGCGTTAAGAGATCCTAAAAATTGTGTAAATGATGCTGAAATGCATCATCCGAACGAGATAAAACAAAATAGGAAAATATATCGTATAAATAATAAATAACGAAAAACAAAATTACGTTTAAATTGAAAATTGAAAATTGAAAAACAAAAACATTTCAAAATAACGGTTTTTCGAACGTTGATTTTTTTTAAATAATACAATTCACACAATCCGAGTATTGAAAAATTACCCGAGATATTATTTTATTAAAATAAATTTTATATTTAAAATACATTTTATTTTACAATTTTCACTTATATTTTTTCTTTCAAATTTACTGATTTTATTTAAAAAGAATTTTAAATAAAAACATGACTGTATCACTTTGCGTTTGAAATCACAATGAAAACGTTTACCGCGATAGCTTCCATTTTAAATGATGACGATATCATAGAGTAAAAAAACACTTTTACAAAATTCATAACATCATGTAAACATTGAAATAAAAACCGGGAAAAAAATCTTTTTTTTTTTTTTTGTTTTAAATGAATTCAATTCTCAATAAATATATATTTAAATAATTTTCAAGTTTTGAATTCATTTTATCCTTTTTTTTTTTTTGTTTCTAAACAGGAAACTATTGAAAACTTAAATAATGATTATAATAACAAAATTTTAAAATAAAAAATCTCAAGATTTTATTTTAAACAAATAAAATTATCGATTAAAGCAAAAATAAAAATTTACATAAAAAATTAAGGTTTCTTATCGATGAGAATAATTCAACTTCTTTCTACGATAAATTGTTACATAAATTATTATAACATTACTAATATAAATATGGATTTATCATTATATTATTTCTTTGTTTTTCGACATGTAAAATAATTATATAAAAAGAACATACTGTATTATAATAATAAATAATTAAAAGTTAAATAAGTATTTGCTTATTCTATTAATTAGTCAAGCTTTGTTATCTTTTGCAGCAGTACATTAATTACAATTATTAAAACAGACATTTTTTTTTTTTTTTTTTCGAATGGTCCAATTTTATAGAAGCACTATTTATTAATTAATTCGAGTAATAGTTTTTCGGTTTTACTGTTACAAAGTTTAAGCTGTTCTTTTTAAAATAAACTCAAAAGCTTATTAAATAAAAAAATTAATTTTTCCTTCGAGGGGAGGGAAAAAAAAAACAATTTTATATGCACATTGCAAAAGCTAATTAATTAATTAATTATCGATTACTTATCGAATAATTAAGACTAATTTCATTCACTTTTCCTATGGTTTAAAACTGAGCACAGCAGTCTTTAAGAAAATACAGAAACATATTTATTTGTAAAGAATTGAAATGTTTATATGTAATCTTCTGTTCTTCCAAATTTATATATTAATGAAGCGATAAAAATAAAACAGTTTTGAAGGAAAAGTCCACTTCCAGCCCATTGAGACACTGGTTCCTTAGCTGTAATTTTTTTTATTTGGTTTTCAGTAAAAAAAATTAAATAAACATTTGTTTAAATATCCAATAATGTAATTGGTGACTTACATGAAGTTTTGGTAACGAAATCAGCGAAAAGTATCCAACAAGCAGCAATTATTGCGACAAAACCTAATACAAAACCGAAAAACAACCAAACTCTGGCTCCTCCAGGTCCCAATCGTCCCATTGTGTCACCTCTAAGCACTGCATTGGACACAGAGTTTACCCTGATGGTAAAAATTTAAAATGTAATCGAGTGTGTTGATATTTTAAAATGAACAAGATTTAAAAATAATATTTACATGAGTAATGAAATAGTTCCAAGTACGCCACATACGTGGTAAGCTCCTTTAAAACTTTCAGAGCAAGTTACTTGCACATCTATGATTAACCACCATCCTATAAAAAACTATTAAAATAAAATTAGTCTAAGCATTTTGACTACATTTATCAGTATAAAAACTACTTAATTATGCAAACGATATTAAATAATAAAAGATTTTATTTTATTGTTGTTTGTTCATATTTTAACAAACAAGTTGTTATTAATTTAAAATAAAAAAAATAAAAAAAAAAAACTTACCAAAACACCTGAGATCATTGATGCTAATGAATTTCGAAATTCTCCCTCTTGAAACCACAAACAAGAACGTAAATTTAAATTTTCAAAACCCCAACCCATTTTAATTTATTTATTTGATCAAAAAAAAATTATATATAGATAATTATAAATACAATAATCAAAATTAAAATGGAGAATGACAGGTCATAGAGTAAATAATACAAATTTTAATAACAAATTTAAAATTAAGTTGGCAGTTTTGTTTGTCGAAACTTTTTGGCGCTCTTAAAAGTTTTGTTGTAAGATTTTTATTAAAAAAAAACAAATTTCACATTAAATATTTATAATTATTTCAAATACTCAAATCGAATTGATAAAATTAATAAGGTTTACGGCTTAAATATTTTATTTAACTTATGGTTTTACATAAATTTTATGTATATATATTTAAAATTCACATTTGATTATTGTAATGTGACATTAAAGAACATTTAGAAAAAGAATCTGGGAAAAAGTTATTTTAACACATTTAATTAACAACAATGTTTTTTTAGGACATTAAAAAGTTAACTTTCAATCGTTTGTACATCAATATCACTACTACAATCAGAATCAGTATTTTGATTATCTCCAGATTCATTTTTCATCATAGTTTTACCTGAGTCATTTTTTGCAACGTTATTTTGCTTGCTATTAGAAGATGATTCCTTTTTATGCCTCCATTTCATTCGACGATTTTGAAACCATACTTTTACCTGCATATGATAAAAAGAAATAAATTTTAATAAGGAAAGATCAAATGTATGAATATTAATAAGTATACAATAACCTGAGCATCAGTCAATCCAAGTGTTGCTGCTAATTGTCTCCTATCAGGTTTGGTTATGTATTTTTGCAATTGAAATCTTTTTTCCAAACCTTTTCTTTGTAAATTAGAAAAAACAGCTCTTGACCATGATCTTTTACGTTTTGATGTTGATGTTGATGTTGATGTTGACGTTTCAGTTAAATTATTTTTTTGTAAATTTAAATTTAATTTCGCATCAGGAGGATTGAGCAAAACTTGCAACACAAAACAAGAAAAAAATTCTGTTGGTTTTTTTTTTGATAAAAAACAAGAAGAAGAAGAAAAAAAAAAGAAAATTTCAAATAATCTCACAGTTTGTATAAGAAGATCTTATTGGGTGTGGAGTGTAAATATCATTTTTATATAAATAAGATGAATCCATTGAATTTGATGTACGGCAGCATCTAAATAGTGATGAAAGGCAACTCACGCAAGGGGGAGCAGACCCACAAAAACCTGTTAAAAATCAATTTAAATTATTTATTACGATTTTCAAATTATTCCCATCATTAATAAACAAAAAAAATTAATTAAATGTTTCATAAACATTTTTTTTTTTTTTTATTACCATTTTTATTCGCTGTCGTTATAACTCTTGCTGTTTTTTCGACGCCATTTTCATCTGATAATATTCTATCCATTCCAAATTTAAGACTTTGTGAATGTGTCATTTTATCATCTTTTACAACCATCATATCATGTATAAAACTTTTCTTCCTTCCAGCAACTCTTTTCTTCAAAGAAAGAAAAAAAAATGGCGGCGATTATAATAACGTTCACTTGAGGTAAAAAAAAAAAAAGAATCGAACGAGGAAAAAAATATTTTTATATATTATCATCATCATCATCATCATTACAACATCGTGGCACGATCGATACATCGATACATCGATCGATCGATACACAAAAAAAAAAATTTGGTTGTTGTTGTTGTTTAATTTGTTAAAACTTTATTATTGTTTATATCGTTGATGAAAACCATGTGGCGTGTTATTAACATGTAATTTTCTTTAATTTGTTTATGTTAAAAAGAACCCTAAAAATTTAATGTTGCGGAAACAAACAAACAAACAAACAAACAAACATTTCAAATCCGAGATGAATTCTTTTTTAAAAAAACCAATAAAATGAAAATAATACTAGAAAGAAAAGAGAATCATGTGGCAAGGGGGAAAAAAATTTTTTTTTTTTTTTTTTTATTAACATCATCATTATTATTATCATCATTATCATCATCATTATTATTATTATTATTATTATTAACTCGAACGTTAAATATTCTTTTTTATTATCCGTGAATGATATTCGAGATGGGATTTTTTTTTTTTTTAGAGAAGTGAAATTAATGACGACAGCATCAGGACCCTTCACACATTTTCCCTTCTTCACGCCCCTGTATTCCCCCTCCCCTTTTTTTTTCCTTAATTTTTCGTTTATTTACTCTATTCGATGATTGAAATTTTTTTACTGGCGTCACGTCGTCACGTGACACGTGGTTTTTATCACAAAAAAAATTTTTTTTTTGAATCCAAAATAAAAAAAAAAAAAAAAAAATTATTCATATCGTTTAAATAATATTTATGAGGATTTTAATAAAAAAAAAAATTCGTTACCGTTTCGATTTATTATCTTTACGCTATTAATAATGATAATAATGATGATGATGATAATGATGATAACGAAGGTTTATCACGGAATAGGTCGAGTGATGGTGGCTTGTTTGTTTTCCGAATAATGAAAAACAAACGGTTGAAGGAGGAAAAAAAATTTTCTACGTGACGTAATAGTGTATTGTTACGACAGGAAGTTCAATGAACTATTAAAATATAAATAACGGAAATAGAAATGGATTAAAACGGAAATGAATGATTTCTATCGCGAAATAAATCAAAAGATCTCAAAGAAAATTATTTTAAAGTAAAAAAAAAAAAATTGAAAAAACTTTGTCATCATCATTTGTAACTCAAATAAAATTTTATGTTAATAAATAAATTTATTAATTTTTAATTAATTAATAAACGTACCTTTTTATTATTATTATTATTTCGTAACTTTTCACTTCGCAAAAAAAAAAAAAAAACAAAAACGAAAACAAAATTCAATTTATTATTGTCAATACAAAACGATTTTTAAAAATTTAATAATTATTATTATTATTTATTAAAACGACCGCCATTATTAATTTTTATTATAATTCATTTCGAATGATGATAATTTAAATCTTAAAAAATTTTTTTTTTTTTAAGAAACACACAAAACTCTCCAAAATTAAAAAAAAAAAGAAAAAAAACTGATGGAATCCAATACGATGTGGGACCTCCCATCATTTTTTTTTTTTTTTTTCGAAACACGGACCGCCTTTTTTTTCATCATCATTATTATCATCATCATCTATAATTTTCACGGTTTTGAAATTGAAGTTTTTTTTTTTGTAAAAGAAAATGGAAGAAAGAAAAATATGTAAATTATTGTTAAAATAATAATAATAAAAAAAAAAAAATGGATTATTATATTAAAGAAAATTATTTAATCGGGGGTTTTTTAAAATTTCATTTTTTTTTTTTTTTTTTATTTTAGGTTGGCAACGCAGTCGCTGAATTTGTTCATAAGATCAGTCATACCGGTCATGGCTCCCAAAGCAACCGGTGCTAATTTTCCAAGCATCTGAAAAATAAAACGATTAGGGATTATTAAAAAGGTTAATACCATAATTGATAATAATAATAATAATAATGTCATCTCACGTCTTCCATGACTGGAGGAAGGTCGGCATCGGCTGTTTGCATGAGTGTCGTCAAATCGGAAACGAGTTTAAGACCTTCCTGGAGTGTGCTTTGAACTTCCTTGTTGACACATTCTTTGCTATCTTTTTTACCGGGTGTCCAGCAAGCAACGAATTTGGGTACTTTCTGTAAATTCGATTATGACACCCACGTAAATTCGATATATCGATCGAGGGGAAGGGGTTGAGGGGGCGGGGTAAAAGAATCATTTAATAAAAACCTCGTCGAAAAGTTGTCTTGCGTTTTTCAATACTTTTTCACCGCCGACTTTAAGATTTTCCAAAACTTTTCCATGTTTTTTCATGACTTTTTCATAAGCTTCAACGAATTTTTTTTCCGTTTCGTGTGCCCATTTTTTTCCAGGTCCGGAAAATTTATCGGCGCATGATTTTGTAGGTTCCAAATCTTTCATTGCTTTATTCAATGTGTCGAAAACGACGTTGACTCTGGGAAGAAGAAAAAAAAAATTTTTTTTGAAATAAATATCCTAAAAAGTAGAATTCTGGGAGGGCGGGGGGCGGGAGGAGGAGGAGGAGGTATCTCACCTTTCTTGTTCTTTTGCTAATTTTTCTCTACCTTCTTTCACGGCTTCTTTAACGAGAGTTTTAGCTTCCGGTGACAATTCTTCGACCATGACGTCAACATTTGGTTTAACTTTGTCCAAAGCATCGTTTAATGATGACAAAAGAGTTTTAGCAACGGTTTCGCTGTTTTCAACGAAAAGACGTAAATCCAAATTTGTTGCCGATTTTGGAACTTGAGCACTTTGACACTGTACAATTATTATTATTATTATTATTATTATTATTATTATTATTTAATTTCCGTCGGCGATTGAGAAAAAAAAAAAAAAATTTTCCGACACCTGATACGATGATTTACGACTTACCTCAAGTGAAAAAAGTGCCAATACGGCAATGAGTAAAATTTTAAAATCCGCCATTTTTTTTTGGTTTCTAATGACACGTTTTTTTAATGTCCGTGTATTGGAATCGCAAATACAAAAAAAAATTTTTTTGTCGTTCTTTTATATACCAGACGAAAATCTTGAAGGAATTGATAAGACAAGATATTATTCAGATATTTTTTTTTTTATTTATTTATCGGATGACCTTTGTTTAATTTATAATTATGGCGACGTTTGCTGTTGAACAATCACGACAACAACCACAACAACAACAACAACAACAACAACAACCTTATCGCGAAAAAAAAAAAAATTTACCTGTCATTTACGTTGTTTCCGTTTTGTTTCTGGGTTAAAATTTTCCTCGTTTTATCTTTTTCTGTCTGTTTTTTTTACGCGATAGGAAATTGTTGACCGGAAGGAAAATTTTTGTTAAAACAATCGAAAAAAAATTTTTAAATTATTTTATTATTATTATTATTATTAAAATCGGTGAGTTTTGTTTGTTGTTGTTGACGACAACCACTACGATAAAATTTAAATTTCCTCTCATTTACCACCATCACCACGAACGTGTCAGGAGAGATTAAAAATTAAAAATTTTCATTTTCGTCCATTAAATTAAATATTTTAAAATCGTCTTCTTCCACGTTCGAATCGTAATCGTAATAATAATAATAATTATTCGGACGGGAACGTTTTTTTCTTTTACCTTGTCCAAAAGTTATTGGAAATCTTACTCGTATCGGTTTTCTCGTTACGAACGTCTGGAAAAAAAATTTACCTTTGTCACGTGATTGATCGATTCATCGATCGATCGATCGATCGATTGAATTTTTACGTACTTGTACGTTACTGTTTCCCATGGCTGCCGAATGCGACATCATGATCCTTCTTTTTTTTTCTCTTAAAGAATTAACGATCATGCTTAACAAATATCCACCGAAAGCCAAATAGGAAAGTGCCGTCAGTGACGTATTAAGGATATCGTGTACTTTTTTATCCTTTTTTTCGTGTACGTGTTTATCCTCGTCGGATTCATCATCTTCTGCTTTTACGACAAAAAAAAATTTTAAATCCGTTAAAAAAAAAAAAAAAATTTTTTTAATATCCTTACCGTAAATCGTTTTTCTTGCGGGTGTCAAAAAAATTTTTGGCGGGTAATTTAAATTTCCTCCCGGATATTTGTCCATTTTTAACGGAAGTGCTTCCGGTGTATCATCATCACCATCACCTTCTGAAATTTCCAAATTTTTTTTCTGTGCCAATAATTCTTCCAATGGTAATTCTGCCAATATTTCCACGCTTTCGTCATTTTCTTCTCCAGCCGATGATTTTTTTATCGTCGAAATAATAATAATTATTATTATTATTAAATTTAAATTCCAAATTTCCATCGAATCACAAACGTAACGTTAACGTGAGTATCGCGTAAAACATATTAAATTTTTTTCTACAAATTGTTCTCCAAATCGTTCCATGGAATTATGGATAACGATGACAATTTAGTAATTATATAAAATCACCTGGAGAAAATCACCTGGAGAAAATCACCTGGAGAAATATAACGAAACGCCTATGCGCTTCAAGTATTTTTTTAATTTCTTTCTTCTTGACATTTTTTTTTTCTGTTTCCTTAATTCGAATTTTTCCAGGTTTAAACAAGTTTTTATAATTCTTTCGTATTATCGTCTGGAGAAATAAATTTTTAAATAAATAAAAAAAATTTGTTTGTTTGTTTGTTTTTAAAAAATGTTTGCGGTTGTTTTTGTGTATTTAATCATTTTTACGACTCTTACAAACTGTCGATACAACAACAATAATAATAATAATGATGATAATGATGATTATTTAACAAAAATAATAAATTCATTAAACGTGGGAGTTAAATTGGCAACGAAATTAATAAATTTTGATGAAAAAAATGACGTCATAACTTCATCCATTTTAAATAAATTAAATCGAGGTCGTTATAACAAATACGTAAGTATAACATTATTATCATTATCATCCTGGAGAAAAATTATTTATAAAGGATGTGAATTTTTTTTTTTTATTCCAGGTCGATAACGAAACGGATAATAATAATAATAATAATAATATCATAATGAAATTATTATTAAAATTATTGGGATTAAATTATTTTAAAGCAGAAGATTATGCTTTTGATGGCGTCATACTTTTAGCACAAATGGTGAGTACCCCCCAAAAAAAAAATGACACGTGATTAATAATAATAATGATAATAATTGGAGTTTTTTTTATAGATAAGTTCATCTTTGTCCAGTAATTATCCTATTGAAAGACAACAGAGAAGTTGGTCATCACATTCGACGAATGAATTTTCACCTTTTCGATACCTGATAAAACATCCGAGGGTGAGTTTAAAACAAGAAGAAGAAAGTTCTAGAACAAAATGTGAGGTGTTTAATTTTTGTTTTAATAAAACAGGTTGTGGATTTATTAAGTCAAATGAACGATCCAAATTTAATGGAAAAATTATTGGAAGAAGTTAATGGAAAATTAATCGATCACGAGCGGGAAAATGTCGAATGTATACCATTACTAATATGTAAAATGTCACCTTTCGTTCGTGGTATGCAAAAATCATTGAAATTTTTTTTAAAACGTGAACGATTAGCTGGAAATGATGATAAAACATGCTGGAGAAGTAATACTACGAAAAATGATTTTTGTCCAGATGATGGCGACGAGGAAATATGGAAAAATTCAGGATCGAACGATAGAATATTTTTTTTCTTACCGAGTTTAAACGAAGTCATACGTCACGGTGATGTTTGCGATGAAAAATTTCCAAAATGTTTTTATTAGTTTACGTCATCATTTATTTTCTCTATGACGTCACGTCTTTTATTATAATACGCACGAGTTATGCTTATTTTTCTACTCATCGTTATGGAACCGTAAAAATAATTTTCGATCTCGTTAATTCTATTCCCGCCGCCATCATCATCATCATCATCATCATCATCATCATCATCATCATCATCATCATTATCATCATCATCGTCATCGTCATCATTATCATCACCGAACCAATTGAATTCTTAGGTCAATCGTGACCTCCACAAACAAACGAACGAACGTTAAATTTTCCGCCATTTTTTCAGTTTTTCCAGTGAAAAAAAATTCCAGTTTTTGTAATACCTCTCTCTCTTTCTTCTCCTTCTTTCTCCCCTCCCCTCCGCCTCCCTCCCCCGCATCCCCGATTTTTTTCCCCGGTTATTCATTCACCTTTTACCTCTTATTTGCTCTCATTTTATTATTAACCGTTCTAATTGCCCCCCTCAAAAACAAAAACCGAACAGTAATTATAATCAACGTGATGTGGAACGTGAAAAAAAAAGAAGAACGAGTGGGGATTTCGTGATGATGCTGGAGAAAAAAAAGAAATAATAATAATAATACGCTGGAGATTTATTTTACGGTTATTCGCAACGAGTACTTCAAACGAGTAACAACTATTTTTTCGTGTAATTAGAATCAAGAAAAAAGAAAAAAATTTCGGAAAATTTTTCAACTCAATTGGGGTGAGTAAACTTTTCTTTTATTATTATTATTATTATTATTATTAAATAATTGTTATCATTATCAGGAGGAAAAAAAAAAAAGAAAAACACCTGATTTTTATGTCTTGACACTTGTCAAAACACTTTTAACCTAATCAATTTTATCAATAATATTAATAATAATAATAATGAAACACCTGTTTCGATAAGTTTTACGAAGGTCATAAAAACGAACCTGGAAAAAATTTTGTTTAAACCGAATTGATGACGTAATTGTTTTGTTTTTCCAGGTATTTCCGTTCGATTCGAATCCTTAAAATGACTTTGGGTTCGATATTGAAAACCGTTTTGGGCTCTACCGATGAACATCAATCCCACGGTAATAATAATAATAAATTCATATACGAAAGAAACGGACATGATTATTATTATCATCACTACGGGTAAGTTTAATTCATTTCCGTTTTCCCCTTTTCCGGTTGATTAATAATTTATTGAAAAAAAAAAAAAAAAACGTTCGAACGCGTTTTAAATTTATTTAATTTTCCCGCCCGCGCAGTTTTATAACCCTAAACGTTCCGCCACTTCACCCATAATGATAATAATGATAATGATAATAATGATAATAATAATAATAATAATGATAATAATAATAATTTACCGTTGTTTTTTTTCTCTTATTAAATTTACGTTCAAGAGGACGCTGATACACATAATCATACGTTCGTACGATCGTTAAAGGAAGTCGTTAAAACTCAATCATTATCATTATTATTATTATTATTATTATTATTATTATCATCTTTAGCATTTTTAACGTCGTCGTCGTCGTCGCCACCGCCACCGCCGCCGCCATTACAAATTACAATTTTTTTTTTTTCTAGAACGTTCTTTTTTTTTTGTAGATTAATTTAAATTTGTTTTTTTTAAAATTATTATTATTATTATTATTAGTATTATTATTATTGCGACGACGGTTTCGACTAAATTTATTATTAATGAGTATTATTATTATTATTATCATCATCACGTTTCGGGGTCATCGTGTTAGTCCATTTAATACGAAGGGATTTTTTTTCGTTAAAGAGAAGAAGACGAAACCGCCCCCCCAAGAAAAAATCATCAAACGAACGGGATAGTTTTATTATTATTATTATTTTCCAGGCACCACAATCACAATCATCATAAAACGAAGGGAAAATCAAAATCCGATAAAAAATCCGCCATATTGTCAGCATTGAGCCTTTTGGCATTTTTATTTTTTCTTAACATATTACAAAATTGCATAAGAGAAGAAACGGAAACGATGAATCCCGTCATTATGTTAAATTATCAAAATAAAAAAGAAGAAAATTCTGAACAAATGGAAGACTATAAAAAAAGGGAAAGGGAAGAAGAAAATGGAAAATGGTATGAAAACATACACTCGGAAAATTCGAACGGAAATGATAAGGATTTGAAAAAACGAGAAGGAAGGAAATCGCGTAGCCTTTTACAATACGTCGAAGGTGAAAAAATGATAAGAAAAAGGCGGGAAAAATTTATAAGAAATTTTCCGACTGGTGGCGCTGCCGGTGGTGAAAACTGGACGAAAGAATTATCGGAAATGACTGATAAAGATTTAGAAAATCAAAAAATAAAAACATTAAATTATTACCGTAATAAAAATTATACGAATAACGGAAATGACGTCACGATCGATAAAAATAAAACTTTGGGTAGCGATGTGATAATTTTAAAAAGATTAAAAAAAAGAGAAAAATCATCGGAAGAATTATCAAATGAAAAAAAAACCGGAAATGAAACGACGGATTCGATTTCCGGTTTTTTCAAACCTTATGAAAATTCATTAAACGAAGTACAAATGACGATGAAAAATTATAATAATTCGGAAAATTTTTTTAAAAATTTTCATTGGTTGTATAAAAACACGACTACGAAATATTATGATAACTTACCGAACGTTACGAAAATTTTTGAAGAAACGTCTAATGACACGACGACTCCGAGAATTAATAAACGTTCTGATTCCACGAATGAAATTTTCCTCACGACTTCTTTACATCCCGTAACGGAAATGAATGCGAAAATTGAGAGCGATGATTATAACAACTCCGTAACGTCATCGAACCAAATACAAAATGTCGGATCGTACGAGACGAAACAACAACCGGAAATAGATAATTACAATTCGATTAAAATAACAACGGAAGTACCGTTTTATTATACGTCATCATTTCCTCCTTCGTATCAACAATTCTATCGCGAAGGTCAATTAAGAACAAAATATTCACCGTATAGAAATCGAAACAAACAACAACAATTTCCGGTTAGGTACAACAATCGACAACAACAACCACCGATACGAAGAATCAATAATAATAATAATAATAATAATAATGATCAAAATGGTAATTATTATCGTCGAGAAGTTGTCATTGCGAGGTATCCGACGGAAGAGGAAACGGAATTTGATTTGATAAAATTTTTTTGGTCTTTGATTACGTCATTTACTAAACCTTTCACGAAGTTGTTGATGCCTAATTTGAGTAAGGAAGGTACGGACGAACCTCAATGTTACGAATTGTTGGTTTGCGAAGCACAAAGAGCATCGAAATTGATGGGACCGACAGCGGAAACGTTAGCCGCAACAATCGGGTACGTTTTTATTAATAACGTGATTTCATTTCCGGTACGTGTGACGTAATTTTATTTTTTTTTGAATTGTTCTAGAACTTTGTTAACTTGGGCAACGGAAGAGGAAACACGTCAGCTCGTAATTGACGCAATTGAATCCGGTAAGGAAAATACGTGTCAGCAACAGATAAAAGATTGCGATGATAGATCCGGTGGTAAATCTGCAATGACCGTTATTGCTCAAGCATTTGAAATTAAAAAACCTGTTCGACGTATCGACACAACCGCCGCCGACACCGTCACTGCCACCGCCACCGCCACCACGACCGCCGCCGCCATCATCACGTCCAACGGTTAATATTTGGACCGTATTAAGGATTTAAAACACCTCAAGCGAAAAAATTTTAATGCGGTCACAACGGTTTTGAATCTCATAATTATTTTCCAATTATCGTACCTGAAACGTGAAAATATTCACCTGGGAGTGGGGGAAGAAGGGGGAAAACGGGGGAGGGGAAACAATTAATAATAATAATAATAAATTCATTAATTTATTACGCGATTCGGTTTAGGTTTAGGTGTGTGTAATTTTTTTAAATAAACTTTTTTATGAAAAATTTTGATGACGTCATATTTATTCACACGATTCAAATTTTAAATTGATACCGATTTATTATTTATTTTTCATTACTCCCGCCGCCATTTAAGAAAAATTTATGAAAAGAAAAAAAAACCGACGCCATTTTGATGCAAATAAAAAAATTTACACATATATATTTTTTTTTTAAAAATTAACAAAAAAAAAAATAAGAAGACTAATACACATACGGTAAATATATAGTAAAATCGATCTTTCACACATTTTCACGCGCATTCACGCACCCACTTACGCACACTAATAATAATGATAATAAATAAAAACCACCGCACTACAAATTAAAAAAATAAAAATAAAAAATAAAAATTTATTTATTTATTAATTAATTAAAAAAAGGGGGAGAGACTCTCATATAAGTCAATCGTTTTTTTTTTTTTTTTATTAAACAAATAAATTATTTATCAATAAATAAAAATCTATGTATTTTGTCACACTCACCAATAAATTAAATAAATAAATAAATAAATAATAATAATAATAATATTAATCTAGTTTTTATGTCTCTCTCTCTCTCTTTTTTCATTTATAATTTCGTATCGATAAATATTTTCATGTTATCAGTCGGTGGCACGTGGATATTTATATATAAATAATGATAATAATAACGATAATAATATGGAGGGAAAAAAAAAAAATCGGAACACGCACGCACGCACGCACGCACGCACTCAAAGACTCACCCATCGAAATCCCCACAAATAGTTTCCAAGTTTCTCCTCCTTCTTTTCCCTTTCCTCCCCCTCCCACCGCATCATCCATCCCTCCATTTTGAATTTTTACAACCCTCATCATCATATTTCGTTACATTCGACATAAACAGCTTGACAGTCTTCTCCAGATCTTCCTCTTCTTCCAGCGGTGTAAAACGAATCGAACGAACCCGTCGATACTCTTTCCATAAGAAAGCTCGTTGCGTACCTACGGGTAAAAAAAAAAATTTATATTAATCGTGACGTCACGTCGCAATCTACGTCATACAAAGGTTTACTTACGATCCCAGACGACAGTATAGAGTGCTAGTCCCGGATAAATCGGAGGAACATTCTTTGTTAGCTTCGCAAACGTATTTTTGCAAACATTTATCATCGCTCGTTTTAAATGATCTCACGTAGGCTTTGAGCATCGTTAAACTCGCAGTGGCGGCTTCAGAAACTGAATCTTTTTTACCGAGTGATCTCGCTTCCATCGATCTGTGACTGAAAGATGTTTTCAATGCGTCCAAAAGGTTCACGACGATGTTAATGAACTGTAAAATAAGAAACCACGAAGAGATTATTTAAGAGTGAAAAAATGGCATCGATGAGGAAAAAGCTGTGCTCGGTGATAAAAAGCCGTGTAATAAGAAATCCTACCTCTCCAGCTTGTTTGGCCATGGAAGCAACTTGATCGGGATCCTTTGAACCGAGGACAGCCGAAAGGACTGCAGCAAGGATACCCTGGAAAACCACGCGAAAGGATTTACCATAACCGATAACAAGACATTTTCCCGCGCGGGTGGACATTTAAAAAAATTTTTTACCTGCATGGGTGACGATCCGTTGTCGACTTTATCGATGCCATCGTTTGTTGGCATTACGGCACCTCCTAAAAGCATCGTCACGATTTTAAGACCGACGGATATTATATTTGCCCAGGGTGACGAACCTGAACCTCCATCTGCATCCAAAGAATCGGATTTGCTGGGTCCCACTGCTTGTGCGGGATTAAATATCATTTGCATTATCATACCCAACATGTTAGACCATGAAAATCCAGAATCCTGTACGACGAAAGAAAGAAACAAAAATCAAATCGGTGTCGCGCACGTGACGTCATTAGTTTAAAAAACAAAAAATACCTGAATTTGATTGGATGTAACATCGTCCAACGCATTATTATCGATTGAAACTTTTTTTAAATTGTTTGGTTTTTCCGCAAATTTACGAAATTCCGGACGTCCAGTCGATGGTAAACATAATCCTGGAGAAAGACAAGTCGATGCGAAAAGTGTCACGAATGCACAAGCTAAAAGTTGACGATTATTCATCTGTAACAAAAAAAAAAATCGAGTTAACCAATCAATCAACAGCGAGTATTATAATCGTCGTCATCGTCGTGGCAGAAGAATAATAAGAAGTGAAAATATTTAATTTAAATAACGACGACAACCTTTCCAGTCGGTTTCATTGCCAAACTTTCACTTTTTTTTTTTTACGAAAGAAAAATTTTATCGTGACACGATTTTCTTTTCGTCCAGAATTTTCACGTCACCACATCAAAAAAGGTTTCATCCGGGATAAATAGAGAATCTCTCGCGATTCATTCATTCATTCATTCGTCGTATGTGGCGGGGGGGGGGACGAGGAGTAAATATTTCGGATATAAATCATTCATTCGCTAAGAACACTTTCACCGCGATGACAAATCACTCAAATCGAAATATTTTTTTTCTTTCTACTACTTTTTCTCCGATATTCAGTACCTGCCTGACTGACTACCTGCCTGACATCCTATCATCAGATACCACCACGTCATTAAGGTGGTATCCGGTTCGAGATGTAATCGTTGACGTTTTTTTATAACGTAACGTTTTAAGTGTCGCGCACGATGTTTAATCACTTTTTTTCTTTTTGGAAATTATTTGCGTGACCTTTAAATTGTGACCCCCCTTCTTCAATCAATCTCTCTCTCTCTCTCTCTCTCTCTCTCTCTCTCTCTCTCTCTCGGGAGAGAGAGAGAGAGAGAGAGAAATTAAATTTCTCTTTCTTCGAATTATTATTTTTTTTAATAACGAAGTAGAAATTATTTTTTTTTTTAAATGTGATCGCACGCATATATTCGGAGAAAGTAAAATTTTACAAAAAAAATCATCATCATCATCATCATCATCATCTTGAGATCGATAGGAAATGACGTCACGACACATACTACTACCACTACTCACGTTCGGTTGATGATTGTGACGATGATGATAGTATCAAAAGAGTGATATAATCGAAAAAAATGAAATACTTCTACTGCTACCACGTTCGTAACAAGGGGAAGGAAGGGGAGGAAGGGAGGGGAAAAGACGTGGCGGAAACGATAGAATAAAAATAAAAAAAATTTCCTTTTCAATAACGTTAAAAAATACCGATGACGATTTATTTAGAATATGTTTGTGTGTGTTCGACCCAGAATTTGCCAACCCGTTATGACCTGACTGATTTAACATCGTCGTGGAATTAAACCGTTTACAGGTATACAAACACGATAAAAAAAAAACCAGGTTATTAGCATTTATTTATTGAAATGGAACTTTAGAGTCAAGGTTGTCGTCCTTATCGATCCTTATATATAAGTTTTTAACGACTCCATTATCATCAAAAAAATATTTTTTTAAAAAAAACAAGTCAAGAGGCCAACGTGAATTTAACAAAAAAAAATCGGGGCAACGTTTATCACGTTAGGATTTTTTCCGGTCGATTCGATCAGTTTTGCCAACCCGCAAGCGATGTAAACCCTCAACGGTTTTATTAATTAAATTTTTAAAAAAAATTTAAAAAAAAAAAAAAAACTCAAAGATGATGGTTCTCTACGTGTTAAAATAAATTATCGCGAAGGTTTTTTATCGATACGATAAAATATTCCTCACCTATAAAACTATTTTTAAAAAATATAAATTGACCGTGGTCATCTATGCGAAATCCAATTAAAATTTTATTTTTTTTATAAAAAAAAAAAAATTTTCCGAATTTTATCATTTTGAAATTATAAGAAGAAACAAATAGTGCATGCGTTAAACGTGTGAATCAAACATTTTTTTATAATAAAAAAAAAAACAAAATTTTCCGAATTTTAAAATTTTTATTTAATTTATTATTTTGAAATTATAAGAAGATGGAATTCGTGCATAAGTTAAACGTGCGAGTGAAAAGTTTTCTTAAAAAAAAAATTTTTTTCCCCTTTTTTTCCCTCCTTCCCCCTTACTCCCCAATAATTTACCGCTACATTTTTTTCAAGTTCAAGGCCTTTTTTCGTTACTCTATTTAAATTCGCGTAAATTTTCCTTTTGTTTACGTTTTTCAAGGTCATTATTAAATGTCCGATTCATTACCCCGACCGATTTATGAATGAAAACGAAAAGGAAAAAGGAAAAACGTAACCTTTTTCCTTTTATTTTTCCTCAAACCTTTTCTCATCGAACTCGCGTATCATTACAATCGATATCGAACGATTTATCGAATTCATTCGATACAAAAAAAAAAAAAAAAAAAACGAAAAAGTAGGTTTTCGTCTTCTTCTTCTTTTCGTTTCTATTCTTATTACGATGAAATTCTCATTCATAGTATTTCGTTAATGTAAACATTTAAGAATATTTACCGTTTTAAATAATGATAATAATAATAATAATAATGATGATAATGGGATCGATATACAATCTACAACGGAATTTGGAAAGTTTTTTCTTTTTTTTTTTTTTTTTTTTGCAATTATTTCGAAACTTTCATTCGATAAATTTTTTTTTTCCCCCCTTTTTCTTTACGTTTTACACGGAGAAAATCGATGTGATAAAAAAACGATTAATCGAATCGAAATTCCCCCCCCCTCCCGAAAAGAAAAAAGAAAAGAAAAATCATACGGATGACGAACAAACAAACGAATGAAAAATTCTATAAAAATTATTATTATTGCGTAAACGGAAATGCATTCAAGCACACTCACGAACACACACACACACTCTCTCTCTCTCTTTCCGGTTGGATTATTACCTGTGAAAAGAAAGAGAAAAAGAGAAAAAAAAAGAGAAATTACAAAAAGATTCTTGGAAAAAAAGAAAAAAAGAATTAAATTGATCCGGTTGGGATGAATTTTACAATCGATCGATAAAAGAAAAAACAATCGTCGTTATCATTATTATTATTATTATTATTATTATGTGACACATCATCACACGGATGGAACCATTTTGAAAATATTTTGTCGTGTTCTCAATTTTTTTTATTTTTTCGTTACATTCCATAGAAGAAATATTTATGTATGAGTTTAAAAAAAATTCGGTTTACCTCCGAGTTATTTTTTTATTTTTTTCCTTTCACTCCGTAATTAATTTCTCCGTTCATACGTTTTTTTTATACCTTTTCCTTCTCATTCATCCCCCCGTCCCTTCATCCCTTCATCCCCCCATCCTTTCCCACCCTTAACGAAATAAAAAAACCGTTATGACGTATTTCCACGCAATTTTTTTTTAAATTTCGTTCGTCTTAAAATTTTTTTTTGGTTTCCTCCCCTTTCCTCCTCTATCCTCCTCCCATCCGACCCCCGGTTTGTCAGAGAGAGAGAGAGAGACGATAGAATAAATTCCAGTTATTGTACAGGTTCAAAACAGGTATTTCATTTAAATTACTAGAACAATTATAAATTGGTTAACCCCGATCGACGATTTTTAATTTATTTTTAAATACAAAAAAAAAAAAATTCGTGAATGATGCGAACGTTTTCCTCTCGCAACCACCTTGTTCGTTAATTATTATCATTATCATCATTATCATTATCATTTTTTTTCAATAGATTATTAATTTCACTTATTAATAAAATTTTATTAACGGTTGTTGACCTCCAAAACAAACACCGGGTGACACAGATTTTTCTTCATAAATTTATTATTATTTACAGACGATGGGAAAAAAAAAAAATTTTATTCGACGACATAAATAAATAAAACCTTCGTACCTTACCCCTACGACCCACCCTCCCTCCCTCTCGCACCCCCCAAAAAAAAATAAGAAGAAAACTCACCTTTTATTGTTGTTTTATTTTACTTCTGAGGGTGTAAATTTCCTGTAATTAAACAAATAAATTTTTTTTTGTAACAAACGCACAATAAATATTTAATAATAATAATAATAAAACATAAAATGACGCGATAATAATAATAATAAATAAATAAATAATAAAAAAATGATATTGAAAGAACCGAAATAATATAATAAATGGCCTAAAATCACCTTGAACTTGGGTTTATATACTCTGACCCAGTTTTCGGTGAGTAGAAGACGAAGAGAGAGAGACAGAGAGAGAGAGAGAGAAAAAGCAGGTACGGTACACGTCTTCTCTATGATAAATTAAAATGATTTTATTTTTACGTATGTTCAACATGGGAAACTCACGTCATTTTAAATTTTTTGTTGAAAATTTTTAATCGAGATGCGAGGTATGCGAGTCGATTGAAGGATTAGATGACCGTGAATAACGTTTAAATAATTTTATTTACACAATGTTTCTTACGTTGCGATGCACATCAATTAATAAAATAAAAAAATTTTCACTCATCCCCCTTCTACTACGTCCGAACGTAGAAACGAACAAACGAACGCTTTTAACAATTCGTCGTTGGTGTCACCGCGAACGTTTTTACCGGAAATCGGAAACTCAACCATTTTCCCTATAACGATAATAATAATAATAATAACGTTTTTTTTTTATATTTTTTTTTCTTTCCCGTATGCAAAAAAATTTAAAGTAATTAAATTATTATTTACTGTAATTTAACCTTTGACTTCGAAGTTGTAGTAGTAGTTGCAGAGGTATTTGTTCGAGCTTAACAAATTTTTAATACAAAAATTATTATTATTATTATTATTATCATTATTAGTACTTTCACGTGATTATAACCGAAATGAAAAATTCTTTCCTCCCCCCTTTTTTTTCGTTTTCCAATATTTATTTTAATTTAACGAATTTACGTGTTTATTATTATTACTATTATTATTATTATTATTATTATTATTATTATTATTATTATTATTATCGTACAAACAACAAACAAAGAGAAAAGGTAAATTCCCACGCGATCATCTCTAATACGGAGAATATTTTATTCGTTTGTTTATTTGTTGTAACTTTGTTTGTTTAAAAAAAGGTTCGTTTGTTTCCATGAATCAGAGTCAAGAGGTTCTACTTCCGGTTTGGGGTTGGGGGGAAAGGAGGAAGGGGAGAAAAGGTAAAAGTTATTGGGTTTGTGACTATTATTATTATTATTATCAGAAAAATAAATAATAAGACGACAACGACAACCGTTGTTTAAATAATAATAAAATTTTTTAGTTTTTTTTGTTATTTCAACCACGACGACGCCATATTTGTTGTAATTGTAAAATCACGATTGTCAAAAAAAAAAAAAGGAAAAAGAAACAAACAAACAAACAAACAAACAAACGGTATTTATCACCATCATCATCATCATCATCATCATCATGAGAATATTTAACCCCGTTTACGAGAAAAAAAATTTTTTAACAACAGGAAAATTCGTTCGTTTTGTTTTTGAATTTCCGGTTTGGAAAGTTGGCAACACAATCATCGTCATCATCATCATCAATTTTCCGTCATGGTTCGTCATCGTCGTGACTTTTCCTTCTTTTTTTTTTTTTTTTTAACGGTTCGTAGTTTTAATCATCGCATCAGAGATTTTTACTTTTCTATTATCACGCTCTGATATATATATATATATATATTCGCAAATCAATCATTCAATCAATCAATCAATCAATCAATCAATCATTTCTCCTTAAATACTACGATACATATATGTATCGATCAATCGAAAAATCTCGAACGGATACTCTAATGATTTAAAATTATTAAACTAAACTAAACTCGACACACTTTTACCATTTATTACAATAATAATAATAATAATAATAATAATAATGATGATGATAATGATGATGATGATGATGATGATGATAATTATTATTATTATTATTAAATTTTCATTTTATTAATTAATAAAAAGAAAAAAAAATTAGAACGTAAAAAAAATCGTTGCGTTGCGTTATTATTATTATTATTATTTACGACGCGACGCTTAAGTAATAATAATAATAATAATAATGATAATAATAATGATTTAAAAATCGAATGGGGAAATTTGGCGTGAGAGGGGGGCAGGAAGAAGGGGAAGAAAATTTTCAAACATTTTCTTTAAAAAAAAAAAAAATTTTTTTTAGAAAACAAGTTGCTGATTGTCGACGCGTTGTACAAACAACACAACCGAACAAACAAACAAACAAACAAACCGAAAACTTTCACCTTTCATTTTCACCTGTTTAACACACACACACACACGTGAGCATCGTTTTCTTATTTTATTATTATTATTATTAATATCGATTGGAATTTTTTTTCTTTTCTTTTCTTTTCACGTTTCGAATGATGCGTGGGAAAAAAAAATTTGATAATAATAATAATAATAATGATGATGATTTATGTGCGGGCTTGTTTATTAATAATAATAATAATAATTAATTGATGGATGAATGACGTAATGAAAACGATTTCAAAATTTTAAAATTATTATTTTCGATTTTTTATGAGAAAGAAATAAAAATAAATAAAAACAACAACAACAACCAAGCAACAAACGAAAACAACAACAACAACAACCGCAAACAAACACGCACACGCACGCACGCACGCACGCATATTTTATCGATTCAATTTGTTTTACATCAAATTTAAAAATTGTAAATATTTTATATCTCGAATTTTTTTTTTTTCCCCTCCGACATTTGTTTTTCGTCATCATCGAAAATACGAAAAAATAATAATAATAATGATGATGATGATGATGATGATAACGAATAAATTGGCGCCATAAAAACAAAAACGAATAAGATCAATATATCAATCAATTAAAGTTTTTACGAAAAAATTACTAATAATAATAATAATAATAATGATAATTTTTCGTTTTGTTTTTCTCTCTCTCTCTCTCGAGAGAGAGGGGGGGGGGAGGGAAATCGTTAAAAAATTCCAGTATTATCGATTTAAAAAAAAAAATTTTTCCATAATTATTAAATATCATCATCATCATCATCATCATCATCATCGACGTGAAAACGTTTTGACAATAAATAAACGAAAAGAAATTTTCAATATGGTGGAAACAAAAAAAAAACTATTCGGATTGTTATTTAAAATCGATACGAATCGATCGATCGATCAATAATAATAATAATAATAATAATAATTACGTTATGAATTTTGACGACGGAGATGACGATGATGATGATGATAAATTCAAAAGTTAAATTCCGGGGGGGGGGACGGCCAATGGGTTTTAATAAATTATTATCATTATCATTCGATTTGTTTTTTTTGGTGATCGGTTTTAAATGGATTTAAATAAGTAATAATAATAATAATAATAATAATAATGATAATAATAATAATAATAATAATAATAATAATAATGATAATAATAAATTTTTTTAGTGTAATAAAAAAAAAAAAACGAAAAACACCGCGGGAGGCGACGTAATCACGTGGTTAACAATTGGAAAAAAAAAATAATAATAATAATAATTTTTCATTTATCCCGTGCATCATATTCCACGATTAAATTATTATTATTATTATTACTCTAAGTCTTATGCGAATCGTTTAACCGTTTTATTTACCTAATAATGGTAATAATTATTATTATTATTACTATTGTTTACACCTGCCATAAATCAAACCACGAGTACGTAAAAAAAATTTTATCAATTTCAAAATGCGTAATAATAATAATAATAATAATAATTTGACTTAATCTCGAATACTATCTCACGATGATGATGATAATAATAATAATACTAACAATAAAGGATAAATTAACGATCGATTAAAATTTTTTTTTTTTTTTTAAAGAAAAAACCCATTGCAATTTTTTGATTATGCAATTTGTCATGCTTTCAACCGTTTACTTTTAATGAATTTTTTTCTTCCTCCCCCCCCCTCCACACACACGCGCGAATAATAATAAAAAAAATCTTTTGTTTGTCGAACGTTTTACGTCACGAAAGAAAAGAAAAGAAAAGAAAAGAAAAAAAGAAAAAGGAAAAAAAAATTATTAATTTTATTCATTTATTATTATTATTATTATTTTTTTTTTTTTTTTTGGTCAAAACCGTAAACAACAATCATTCAAAGACGAACCGTTTTTATCATCATTATCACTTCTTATCGAGGGAACGAGCCGCCATTTTATTTGAAAAATAATAATAATAATAATAATAATAAAACGTTTTTTTTTTTTTTTTTTTTTTTTTTTTTTCAATTTCATACAAAAATGATTTTTTTTTCTATTTTATTCTGAACAATTTTACACGTGTGTACAGAGTACCGTAATTCATTTTTTTTCTATTTCATTTACAGTCTTACGGGTAAGTTTAACAAATAAAACTTTTTTTATTCGTTCTACTCGCTCGTTCGAATTAGAAAACACCCCCCCCCTCCCCCGAAACGAACAAACAAACAAACGAACGAACAAACAACTAAGAAAAGAAATCAAATCAAAAACGACAAACTTTGAAACGATTTCGATCAACATTCGAAAAATAATCGAAAGTTTTTTTTTTTTTTTATATATATAATAATTAAAATTATTCCCGTGCGTGTTCTGCTTGGGTGGGTGGGCGCGTGGGTGCGCGTGTCGCGCACGTGCACGTGCACGCGCGCACTCACCGAATTCGCGTATCGTTTATTTACATTCGTTGGTTGATTTCCTCCGATGCTTCCAACCGAGGAATGAGAAAATCAAAGTAAAAGAAAAAAAATTAAAAAAATAAAATTTCCGTACCTGAAATAAAAAATTTTCAAAAAATTAATTAATTTTTCCGTTTCGATCGAAGAGAGAGAGAGAGAGGGAGGGAGAGAGAGGGGAAGAGAAAGACAAAGAGAGAGAGAGATAGAGAGAACAACATAGGGTACCTTTCTTATATGTATTTGGTACGAGTCAATGCGCTTTCACCGAACGTCGGATCCGTCATTCTGCTCCAATCCGTTTGTCCGACCACGAACCCGATGGCTCTCATTTTTTCCTGTTGTCTTCTCTCTTCCAAATCCGCCCATCTCACCTGTAACCAATGAAACCCCTCCCCCCGTTAATAACGATAAATACAAACTCCACCTCTCGGGCGTGGGATAACAATAATAATACAAACTCTTTTCTTATTTCCTCCCGGCCCTCCAGATTCCGAATGAACAACGTTCTCGTCGTCCGAATCCACCGGAAGTTGAAGATAATCTTCCATAGTGCCGACGTGAAAACCTTCTCGACGTCGTTTCAAACCGTCGAGACGATCTGCAACAATAAAATCAATCATTTTCAACCAGGAAAAAAAAAAAATTCGATTAAGAGAGAAAGAGAGGGAGAGAGAGAGAGAGAGATGGGAGGGAGAAGTTAAAAAAAAACCGGAAACAACAACCGGAAACGATTCATTAATAAAACTTTTTTTTTTTTTTTTGTTTTTCTTACCTAAATTTTGTTCGGAATTTTCTAATTGATCCCAACGGCTCTTGACGAATGTCGACACTCCAGACTCATCCTGCGATAATAAAACCCCTCAAGTCAAATAAAAAAAAAAAAAAAAAAAGAAAAACACGTGGTGAGAGTAAGAGAGAGAGTAAGAGAGAGAGAGAGAGAGAGAGAAATAAAAAAATAATTTTTTCCAATAAGGTTTACGTCGATCGAACCTAGAGAATAATCGGAGGATAACAACCAAAATCTTAATAGTTATAAATAATAATGATAATAACAATAATAATAATAATAATGATTTCGTTAAAAAAAGAAAAAAAAACAAATGATGACGTCATTAACAGTTGACAACACATCACCCAAAATTATTTTGTTTGTTGCTAAACAACAAACAACCGTTTAAAATGAAAAAAAAAAAAAAATTTTTTTCTACTATTATTATTATCATCGAACCTCGTACCTGAAAATGAATTTTTTTTTTTTTTTTCTGTTTAAACAATACAAATCAAAATAATAATAATAATGATAAAAACAAAATAATGCGTTTAATAATCACAAGAAGAAAACGGTCGCCATTTTGATTCCATTTTGAATCCTGAAATAAAACTTTTTGTTTGTTGTTTGTTTGTCTTGTTTGTTTTGGCAAACTTTTACTCACCATTTAAAAAAAAAAACCGTTATTAATATTAATTAGGTAATAATAATAATAATAATAATAATAATCGTCGTCGCGTCGTCGTCGTCGTCGCCGACTTACCTCTAACAATGTTATCTTATCATTGATTGATAATAATAATAATAATAACAATATTTGTTTGTTTGTTTGTTTTTTTGTCGTTGTTGCAAAAAGCATGCAGGTATGCAAAGACCTGAAAAGTTTTTCCTTTTTTTTTGTCCCCTTTCTTTTCCTTTTCCTTTCTTAAATTTTTTTGTTTTTTTTTTTTTTTGGTACGAACGTCGTACAACTCACCTCATCTTCGTCATCTTTTTTTTTCATCTTCGTTTCCTCTTCCGTCGGCTCCGACTCTTCCGTTTTATCATCCTCGTTTTTCCCATCATTCGAATTTTTTTTCCTTTTCCTTTCATTCTTTTCATCTCCTCCCGCAGTCTTTTCACCCTCCCCTCCTCCTTCTCCTTCTTTTCCCTCTCCTCCTCCTTCTCCGTCCATTTTTTCCAATTCCGTATCGCTCACGACTTCCATTTCGACTTCGGTGATGGCATCCGATTGTAAGAGGGATCTCACGTCTAGTCTCAAGTAATGCGGTGGAGTTTCTTCCCACGCTTTCGCCAAATCCGATATTTCCGTTTCCGTTCTCTTGTGTATGTTTCTCCCTTTGCAAACGGTTACGTCGTTATCCATTTCGGCTATGTACACCTTGGGAAAAAAATTTAATGTTACGCACACGCATGAATCCAAAGAATCCCCTCTCCGTTCATCATATCAAACCTGAAATCCCTTTTGTTTGGCAAAGCTCCACATCTCTTCGTAATCTTTGGTTTTTTCATTCACCGAATCCACTATAATAAAACTAAAAAATCCATCCGAAACGGTTTTCTTAAAAGCTTTCAGTAGGGATCCCCTGTAGTGAGGCTCGACTCCGGCTTCGTATTCGTATTCTAAAACTTTGGTTTTAATTTTCCGACCGGTTTCCTTATCAACAATTTCCTTTTCGACTTCCGTCATGAAGTAATCGTCTAGGGATAATATCCGCGGTGGATCTCCTCCTAGTTCGATTTCTTTGTCCTGAGGAACAACAACAACCACAATCAGGAATCGTGGAATCGGGGATTAGGGAATCATTTCCTTCATAATATACGTACTTTGATGAGCTTGGTAACATACGTTTTCCCACTTCCGGGTATTCCTCTCATTATAAAAACTAATTTACTAGGCCTCGTTTCCCTCCCGGGAAGACAAATCAAATCTTCTACTAATATTGTTGTGACGTCAAAGGAATGCTTAGAAACTTCACCGTCTGAAGAGAAAAAAAATTTTTTTTTGTAACGCTTTTCATTTTTTTTTTTTTGGTTTTTATTCTTAAATGACATTACCTCCCGGTGATAACTTATCATCCAAACCGTTCTTTTCTTTTTTAAATATTTGCCTACCGAGACGATCTCGACTTTTGGACCTGAGGCCACCTCTGAACGGTGGAGAATCAGAGCCCCGTTTGTATCTCGAATGAGGGGATCCCGAATGAGATCTGACTCGTCCTCTCGGTGATCGGGATCTTCTTCTGAGCGGAGAATTCATTCCCGCACCACTACCACCACCACCCTTCATCATTCTATCGTCGACGTCGAAATCCCCGTCGCATCGTAATTTATCTTTTTTCCCATCTGCAAGGAGGGGGGAAATGAAATGTTTTCTCGTTTAGGGAAGTGTTTATATCGTCTGGGACATACCTTTGAGTAAAACGTTTTTGTCCACTCCGTGTCCGTAATCGATGACGGTTGGTGTGTGAGTATCACCCTTGTGTTGATAATCGAAAGATCGAGTTTCCAATTTGTCATTGATCGTTCCTCCGTGGTCGTAGTCGAACGCTTGTTTGTTTTCCCCGTGACTGTAGTCTACAACCGTCGATATTTTAAATCCGTCGTCGATTTTCGTGAGCTTTTGAGGAGGCCTGAAATTAATTAAATTGTTTTTAAAAAAAAACTTTCATCGAATATAATAAAAAAAATTGTCGACTTTATTTACCCTTGAGAATAATCGAAAACTTGTGGATTCCAAATCGGTTCACTCAATCCCTGTTCCCGACTGGTTCTCCCGAATCGATCGAATGTATCCGCGGGTCTATCGAAAAGTCTTCCGTCTCTCTCATCTCTGTAAAACTTGTCGAAACCCCTCCTGAAATTTCTATTTCCGAATCTCTCGTCGACATCTTCCCGAGACTTGTACCTTCCGAACCCTCTATCGTCCCTACTTCCTCTCCCGTACTGCCTATCATCCTTACTGTAAAACCTGTTGTTATCGCTGTTGTTAAAGTTACGCCGATCTTCTTTTCCGGCATACCTATCGAAATTTCTACTTTCGTCTTTGGAAACAAACAACCCTCCTCCTCCTCCTCGATCATCTCGACCGAAGGGCAAACGATCTTCGTAATTCCCGCTCATTCTTTCGTCAACATCATTACGATCGTTTCCGAAATGAGTTTTGTCCGCGGCGTTACTTTTCACTTCGTTGAGACGATCAAAATTTGTCGGAGCATAGGATCCCTCTCGCAATCTATCGTGAAAATCGTTTCCCCTTTCGTCCAAATCCCTGGATCCGATGGATCCTTCCAATTCGTTACGATTTCTTACGGTACGATCTCCGCTTTGGATTAACGACGGATCCTTGGGAGATAAATTTTGTTTTTCTTCACAATTTTTTTGACCGGTTTCCAAATTCCAATTTTGCCTTCTCAAAGGATCAGACTGCGTAGTGCTATCTCCCGACGGAAACTGTTGATTTTCATCCCGTCGGGGCAAAGTCGGCGGCATAACGTTAAAGTTTCCCAATTTGGCTAAAATATTTCCCACGTATCCCGAGAGTTCAGTTTTGTCTAATTCTTGACTTCCGGTAACGTTGTGAACCCACGATTTGTCTTTACTCGGTTCACGTTCGAGAGATTTTTGCGACGCCATTTTTTCAATTTCCCACGGTTGCAACCACGGAGACGGTGAAGTTTTGGGCCAAAGATTCGAATTCGCGTTCGGCCACATTTTGTCATTTCTTTCGAAATCCCTTTCTTCCGCTCTTCCTTCGAACGAATCCGTAAAATCTTTATCCCACGTCTTTTGCTTGCGACCGTTGTTGGTCCCGGTTAATCCGGGTGGTTTTTCAACCGTTATATCGAACAAACTAGGAACTTTGGGTTTGGTAGGAATATTTTGCATGTGCTTCATGTTCGGCGGACACACTCTAAAATCCGGTAAAATGTTTAATCCTCGATTAGCTCCCTCAAACAATTCTCTGCCGCTCTCCGGTAAAAATCTTTGCTGATTGGTATCGAGATCTCTGCGAAAATTTTCCGCGGGAAATCGTTGGGGAGGAGGTATTCCAAATTTCGATCGGGATAACGAGTGATCCACATTTCCTCCCAATCTTTGAGCATCGAAATTATTATTTCCTTTAAATTTATCATTTAAATGTCCTCCTCCGCCTCCTCCTTCTCTGACTTCTCCCTCAAAATTACCGTACCTGAAAATTAAAAAATTACAACTTAAACTTCCTTATTTTATCATCATCATTATTATTATTTGATTTTAAAATTCTTGCCTCGTGGGATCCGTTTTATCGTGATTATAACCACCGAAATTATTCGAAGTATACGACGATGTCTGATTGGAAAGTTTTTCCGACTGAGAAACTGAACGATAATTGTTAAAAGCTGGAGAATTGGCAAGATTTTCCGGGGGTTTATCAAAAAATGGAACCTTATTGTTGTCGAATTTGGGGGGTTCACCGGTGAAAAAACCTTGGGATATTGAACCGGATTGAGTTTTGTAACTATATTCCGAATCTGTTGTTTTAGGTAAAGAAGCCGTCGCGGTCGCGGACGAACCTGAAACTTGCGTGCCGAGTTTAGGTTTGAAATCCTCGGGTCCCCCTAAAAAAAAAAAAAAAAAACAACAATTAAATATTAATAATAATAATAATTAAAAAGTAAAAGAAAAATCATCATCATCATCATCATGGTCGTGACTTACCTCCCAATGGTAAGTCTTTTAAGAGTTCATTTGGTTTGCTCAATCGTTTCTTCCTCATTTGTTCCCGTCTTTGAAGTAATTGTGCCCTCCAAGTTTCCCATTTTTTTTCATATTCAATATATTGAGCTTTGTCTGGATGATCTTGATTTTGTTTTTTCCATTCGTTAAATTGACCTTCCCATTGTTTAAATTGTATGTCAAATGTTTTCTCTGCTTCTGACAATTCTTCGAAACTTTCCTGTCCGAATTGGCAAAGGCTTTTACTCAAATCACTATTTTCCGCACCTGAAAAAAATTAATAATTTTGTTTACAATGAGATGTTAAAAATGGCGCCTGTTAAAAATATTTATGATTTAAATATTTATTTACCCCCAGGAAAAGGCAACGGTGGTTTTTCTTCGTCGGGTGGTGGAGGAGGAACAGGTTGAGAATTGACAGGTAAAGGAGGATTTGATATTAAAGATGCGATGGGTGCAGGTACGGGATCAACGGGTTTGGGTATGCCAATAACGGGTGGGATACCAGGCATCAAAACGTTGGGAGCTTGTCCAACGGCAGCCAATGATTCTGCATATTTTTTCCCATATTGAGCCTGCCATTCTTGATATTTTTCTTGCCATTGTTGCCACTGTTGCCACTGTTGAAGTTGAGCAGCGTTCCATTGATCATATTCGGGAGGCTAAAAATAATAATAATAATAATAATAATTTTCATTTCTCTCTCTCTCGAATAAAAACAAATTTTTTTTTTGTTTTTGAATTCTCACCGGAATCCCTGGTGTAGTTCCATACATGGATTGATAACCAGACAGTATAGGATTATGTTCAACCCCAGGAGGTGGAAAATTGGTGGGCACAATCGGTTGAACATTCGAATAACCAGGACCTGATCCTTGATTCCAAGACCACGAGTGAATATTTTGATTTTGCATAGTATTCTTCTCTTTGAATATTTGAAACTTTACATGAAACCTAAAAACATGCAGAAAATTTTATAATTAATAAATATGTTTCATTCATTTCAAACCCCCAAACACAATCAATTATTATTATCATCAATCAATGATTTTTTTTAAAAAAAAATTCATTAAAAATAATACTCGAAGATTTAACGATAAATTTTTTTTGTAAATTTATTTAAACCATTAAATAATAATAATAATAATAATCTGTAAAATAAAATTAATTTTTACACATGAATAAAAAATTTTATTATTGATTATGTTTTTGTTTTAATAAATAATAACTTACATAATAATAATAATATAAATTAATCGAGAGGAAC